TCGCACGCCTCGGGCCATCTACGGCGTGTAAATGACCCCCTCCTGTGTGGGAACCCCTACGTCCCCTTTGTGCTCACTACAGCCTGCTTCTGCTAGGGTGACAGATGGTCTCACCTACCACCCTCAGGCCTGCGCTTATGGAGGACGGAGGTCGTTCTGCGACCGTCGGCGCCTGAGTCGTCTGCGGTACCTGGCCCGTTGCCGAGCCTGGCGCGCCGGGAGAATTCTAAACCTCTCCCGCTACCGCTCCGCCATCTCCTTTGCAAGTAGAGCTTTCAGTGCACGAGTCAGACGTGCAACTGTTCCATTTTGGAATTAAATAAATATTCTAATTACTTTCTAAGAAACAGTGCTTAGCGTTTTTTTCTTTGCTGCCTTGATGGCAAGAAGGAACTAATCTTTAGGAATTAACGAACTAATATAAAAGAAAGAGCGGAATAATGTAAACGAAAGGCAAGGACTAATCTAAATTTGTAGTACAACCATACGATTTACATATGTTGAGTATAATTTTAGTATGTATGTATTTAATGCCAGCGTGGTATAGTAGGCCAAAACATCCTCCTCTAAGGAGAGGCTTATGTCCAGCAGTGGACTATTATAGGCTGTTGATGATGATGTATGTATTTAGAAATATATAAGTATTTTTGTTTATCACGTTTAACATAGCATATGCACTACCTAGTTTAAGATTAGATATTATTATCTTAAGTTTAACAGTAAGATTTTGGTCATATTATTCTGCTTATGCGCAATGTTTTCTAACCGATATATAAAATTCAACATTCATGACAACCCTATTATTGTTAGAAGCCGCACCCACACCGTGTGCGGTTTAACTAATGGTTAATTTGCCGTCAGATTAACAACGGTCTTCTTGGACCTATTAGCACTGGTTGCGTTAATCGTCAGCAAGATTATGTTGTGATACATAGTTCACAATGCTAACGAATTATAAATCAATTTGTTTGTTAGCACGTAGTCTATATGACTCAAAGACTACGAGTATAAAATTCATTTTATATTGGAAATTAAAAAGACAGCAGTCGATCGTCAATTCAATATTTTAATACATTATTATTCAAAAATATGTATTATAGATGAAGTTTACTATATTTTCCTGAAAAATAAGACCAGCTTAGTATATTATATATAACTTGGTATATTCTATATTTACATAAAACTAGCCATATTCTAATAATATTGGACATACGACCATAAATTTATTATTCTTTTGTTCACTACGATATGTTCATTACGATATTCACTTAAAAACTTACAAAAACAAAAATACAAAGACAAGAGTCTTCCACAAGACAAAAATAACGTTAACTTAACCCTTTCTATCTGTATTCTTAATCCGTCAGATTAATAATACAGAGTGTCACCACCTCTATTTATCCCGTGGATGTCGTAAGAGCCGTCTAAGGTAGCAATTCACACACAAACCCTAAACCCACCCGTCTGGCCACCATGGTATAGTCGGCTTAAACATCTTTGCAAAGGAGAGACCTCTGTGCAGCAGTTTAAATGTTGTTGACGGTGATGTGATGAAAACTTCCCACTCGCATGGGATCGACCGGAGTAATATCACGGACTAACAGACAAATGTTGATAAGAAATGTTTTTGTTACTTAAAAAAAAAGACAACTACCGCACTAAGAATAAAACCTGTGTCACGGGGGTATTTACAAACATACATGAAATGGACACAAAGAACACCCAGACTCAGAACAGCAATTTGTGAATCACACAAGGTCGTCCCATGTGGGGATCGAACTCACGACCGCTTAAATCACTACGCCATCCACGATCCATCCATCTACGATTGTTCTACACGGAAAAGTGTAGAACTAATGCTGGAGAGCGTGCACCTCTACGTCGATTATTGACAACGTACAACTCACATTTTATGAACTTGGATATTTTAGCTCTTACTCACTCTAAATTAAAAAAAAACCTACTACTACTACTACCTTGAAGATCAATAGTAACATTTTTTTAATTAATTATTTTGTATAGTGCGCGTCCGTTCCCTTTTCTACTCCAGCTATAACCTCGTGGACAAAAGTGTGGGTTGTACGTTTAAGACATGTAAATTTTAAATTACTTGTACAGACTGCAATGTATAATTATTTTTTATCCCAAATAAATAATAGACTGCCCTGTTGATCTAGTAATTATCGATTCTGACTGCTAAGTCGCTAGGAATTCTGGGGTCGTGGCTTCGATTCCTATCTAAAACCAATAATTGTGAGATGTTGACGAATTTTTGGTTGTGATTTGTCTATGTATGTATTTAGATTCTGGTCTGATTACCGTAGCATAGACTCTGCTTAATTTAGGATCTGATGGCCGTATGTAAGATGTGTCAAAGTGTTAATTATTCCATTATTGTATTGGTATTAATTCCAAATATGGAAATGCTTTAAATAAATCTTTCTTCTTCCTTATATTGCTTCTTCCACTCAACGTTGTTATCTCTATATATATTTTCCGCTCTGATTTTACTCTTGATAACAATGTGCTCAACATAGATACGTCTCAGTAATTTTGTAATTATTTGTATACTTTTTTTTAAAGACAACTCCCGCATTAGGAATGTATCCTGTGTCGCGGTGGACTTTACAAACATACATGAAACGGACATAAAGATGACCTAGACTCAGAACAACACTTTGTGGATCACACAAAGTGTCATCCCATGTGGGGTTTGAACCCACAACGCTCGGCGTAGTAGGGAGCGGCGTGGCGACCGCTTAAACCACTACGCACTAATTTTTAAATGTTATAACAAGAAATCAACGACGTTCGAATTTTTATACTTGTCTTGAAAAATTTCTCTTCGTGTACAGAGTATGAAAAAAAAGAAAAACTTAACTTTCTCTTATACTCGTAAAAAAAATTCCCACATGCGTCGCTGTACGAATACGACAGCTTCAAATTTCTTGTTAGGTTTTTTAAACCCTGACCCCCAAAGTTTTTTATTTAATTTTTATTTGTGACTAGGAAAAAACAGAGATGACAAACTATCTGAAGTTGTTACGGAACCCTTGATTCATGAGTTAAAGTCACACTCCATTTTACTCGTGATAAACATTTACTGGACACAGAATTACGTAAAATATACTAAAATTTTTTAATGGCAGCTTGTTTAGTCTACCGTTAAGGGCTTTAGTTCAAGTCATTAAGTAAATAAATCAACTTTAGTACTTCTGCGTAATTGAGATTGATGACAGGCGTATGATGGAGTTCTTAAAAGCTACTGGTGTTTAATTAAACAGGTTGGGAATTCTTAGTACTTGAGTGTTTATTTAAGAAGCAGTTGGTACTTTCCATTATATACATCGGTGATGATTGTTGGATTGATGGTTAAGTTAGGTACTTTGATAGTCTGAAGGAATGTTGTCAGTCGGTAGTCTTGTTAGCTACATTACTTTAAAAATAAACCTTGAAATTAATAAGTCTTCTGTTCATATTCAAGCCTAATTTAGTTAGTTATTTAACGCTCATTGTCATTTATGGGAATGGTCGTGATGGTTCGAGGTGGGGCGAATAGCTGGAAGACGCACAGAGGGAGCTGAATGTAACAACACCATGAGCAAATATATAGTATTTTAGCGCCTTTTAAGCCCAAACTAAATAGAGACTACTGATCCTTCTCCTCCGATTGAAAGGATATAACCACACCCACTTCGCACTAAACAGCGACACAAAATTTCATAAAAAAAATAAAAATAATATTCACCACAGTAAACACACGACTATAAAGTCATTTTGTTGGCTGAATAAGTCAATAATGACGGTGGTAATAAAGTTCTGATCTTAGATATAAAAAAAAAACAAATGATTCAAACATTAAGATTCCCCATCACGTATCAAGTCGTGATCAAATGCTATAAAATAGAATCGAACTGAAGCCGAAGTGTTGCATATAGCGCCACAATTAGAAACTGTTCGCGGTGGCGGCGCGGCCCCCGGGGTCCGTATTAGGCGGCCGTATTTCACGAGCTGCCCGCCCCTCCAAGGTGAGAACATAATAAGCGGTTCGGCTCCATTTTTAATATTCCGGCTTCATTACAACGTATTACAAACGTCTTGGGTGGCGAATTCTATCGCGAACACTCTTAATACCACGCTATTAAGGTCTCGGTCTGAGGGGCGTGGACTCCGCCGATTTATTTGAATTTTTGCTCCGACTCAATTTGGGAAATTGTTCGGCCGGCGGCTCTGGCGAAATTAAGACGTCAGTTTGATTGCACCGAGGCGTTTAATTATGTAAATGTTGAGCTAGTGGTGGGTGGCGCAATCACTGGTGTCGATGCGGTCACGTAGAGCGGCAACAGATTTACGATTTTGTACGCGTTTCAGAACAATCATATCTATAATTTTATTTGAGGATTTATTTTGCAGATCGCATTATACTCGTAAAGTGATTTTGTTTGAAATAAAGTTGTTACGTCGTCTTTATAGTTGTATCGTGTAAAAAAAGTTTTTGGCTATGTCCAAACATTTTTTTCTCTACAAGTTTGTAATGAACGATGAAATTATGAATGAATGAATGAATACATTGTGATGAAATCCTTGTCTATAATATATTACTATTTATTTATGTCTCATCGAACAGTCTGCATGCTTTAAAACACAATCTTATAATTTAATATTCACTCAATTAACCTAATAGCAGTTCTATGAATGTATTGTATTATTTATTAAATCACTAACGAGACAAAAACGCAAACACATAGATACTGCAATCCCAGCAATGTCTTGCAGACAATGTCAACCTTGTAAAGAAGGCATTTAATACGTACACAACTCGGTACGAAAACTTGATAGACAAACTTACCATAAAGATAATCTAGTAAATGAGAAAAATACTATATTTTCTTTATAAATAGGTATTATATTAGTAGTTACTTTTAGGTATTTCGTAAATTTTATCGAACGATACCATACTTTATGTATATTTTCACATATGTGAACGATATTCCGTAACAATGGCGTCTGTATTTTCAGATATTATCGTCCCACATGGAAGTGAGATGCAAATGCCACGGCCTGTCAGGAAGTTGCCAACTTCGAACATGCTGGAGAGCAACGCCCGACTTCAGGGTAGTTGCATCAACCATCAAGCGACAGTACAGAAAAGTACGTATTACACTGATAGTTATTCCACTGAACCGATTTACATAAAATTCGGTATGAAGATACTTTGATTCTTGAGGAACTACTACTCCTTTTTACCGCGATAACCGACATTTACGGTGGACCCGCAGGGAATAGCAAGTGTACAATATGCCCTTCGTCTAAGAGACCCCGGGCAGATTGTACATTGTTTTGTTGATCAGTGTAATTTAAAACCACAATTTCAGTACATTGCGTGGTGATAACCATGTGGATAGTACATAAGTTTGTACATTGCAGCTCAGAACTGTGGAACACACACGCAGAACTGTAATGTGGTAGCGCAAAACAGCTGACGATGTGATCGCTTAGTGGCATTTATCTTTTTATATTAATAACGTAACACACAAGTAAAAAAATCGACCGATTGCGTCAAAGCTTATAACATTTTTTAACTACCGAAACTTCCATTTGACACCCAAAAGAACCACTTATCAAGTACCTCACCTTCGAAATCTCTTTCAGCCCTCCTTTTGAAACAGATTCTCTAATCAGGGGTCTCCAACTCTAAAAGTATTATGCTGTGGCCAGAAATGACACCATTTATTTAAGTAAAAGAGGGTATAGATGCGTATTTTAAAATTACCTCATTTAATTTTCTGGCAGGCTCTGATGGTGGCTCAAGAACAATTGAACAACAATCCTTCCTCAGTACTGAGAGGACGACCAAGAGGCAGAAGGCGTGGGAAAGCGAAGCCTGCCCCCAAGAACAGCCTTTTGTTCCTGGAAAGGTATGTATTTTAACCAAGTTTCGAGAACGTCGAAGTTGACCTCAGGAAGGGCGACAAATTCTAATATTATAATTCCTTAAACACAATAAAATAAACTCTGGCGAAGCTTTCATGCCTCGTCAGCTTTGAATCGAGAGAGGCAATATCAGATTTTCACTTTTAGAATAGATTTTTTATTTCCTAGAGCATTTGTTTTGTTCACGTTATGAAGCGTGAAGGAATTTCTGGGAATTAGATTAGCTTCAATTAAGTGAAACCATACACGTACCATATGACACAAAAACAGCGTTTCTCCTGCTCTAAGATTAGTTAAGCGATACCTTTTAATTAAATAAAGAAAAAAAATATAAAATGTAACTCTGCTTTATCGACGCGGCGACGTCAGAAATTATCTTTTCTATCACTAATTAGGGACAAGTAATGAAAGAAAATGAAGGTAAAAATAGTAAAAGAAAAAAAATATCTTCAGAATTTCAAAAATTCTAATACTTATTTATTAAGTTTCGGACTCGCTATGAAAACATTTGTCATTTTTTTCTATTCATTTTTTTTTACTAACCATAGTGTATGGTCGATCAGTATGATTAAGAGACTTATTTTAGTGTATTTTGTTCTCTCTGGTTTCAAAGCAGTCAGAAATGACACTACTTTACCGATCGCTAATGATATAGAAGGCAAGTAAAGAGACCTGACGGTAAGTGACAAGTGCCGCCCTTTAATTCCTGCACAAGAGTCATAAGTGGATAGCTGGGCTTTCAGATGGAAGACTGCAGGATTTTGAAACAGGCGACAAATTTGTTCCATAAGATGGTTGTGCGAGGCAATAAGTTTCATGAAGAGCGCAGTCTTAGAAGTCTTAGTGCTTTTACATTTATCAAAGTGATGGTTCAGAAAATTTTGTCGTGTTGCGGCCATTGTAAGTCTAAACGATTCCTCGGAGCACTCTCCATAATACAAGCGATTTAGAATTTATAAAGCGACATTTTTATGCAGCACCCGATGTCCATCCAGTCCGAAATATACTGGAAATCCCCGATTCGAGTCGCTCTCCCTTAAATGAGGTCTACATGGAGTATCTGTAACGTGTTTGCCGCCTTCCCAGATATGAAATGAAGTCATATGGTCACTGGCCCGGAGTGAAATACTATCTCGATATGTTCAGCACACTAATCTTCTACGATTCTAATTTGGTGTTCCCCTCTATCTCCACTATTTCTAATGTACAGTTTTTGACTTTTAGATCACCAAACTTTTGCGACGTAGACCCTCGGACAGACTCCGCGGGGACCTCGGGGCGTGTTTGTCGCATCGGTCGTACCTCCCGCTCTGGTTCTTGTGACCTGTTATGCTGTGGACGCGGGCACGCCTTAATCAGAAAGTCTAGCATTAAACCTTGTAACTGCACTTTCCATTGGTGCTGCAGAGTTGACTGTGAAAGATGCAGAGACGATAAGTGGGTAGCCATTTGTAAATAAGACGAAATTATCTTTTGTCGTCGAAAATCGTTTTTTTTTATAATCTGAAGTACTTATTATAAACATTCCACTTCTATACCATGTTAATAATATACACATGAACATTTTACGGAGAAAATGAAATGATAATTATTATTTAAAATGTACATTTATAAGTATTTAAAGAGAAAACCAAATCATGATTTAATTAATTAGATGATTTTTTTAGAGAACGGACTTACTTTTAATATTAATTTTAAAATTAATGTACAGAAAATAGGCCCGCAATAAATATGTTAAATAATAGTTTAACGAATTTGTTAATAAGCACCTAATTAAACAAAAAATATCTCAATAAAATAGATAATTTTGTAATTATTAGCACAAACATTCCTTTTATTATCTTATTCTAGAATAAGTCGATTATAAACGTCAGTATTACTTAATAGTAGCATATTTATTAAAAGTATATAGTAATTGTGGCAAACTTTTGCAAAATTAGACATGACAAGTCTAGCATTCTAGTGTGATTGTAAGTAAATATTATACATTCCATTTTGTAAATATGACCAACATTCGTAATAATGTATTTAAGCATTCCTGTTTCAGTGATATTTATTAACTATTTATTGTAGCTTTAAGACTTTGTACCGGTGGTTTTAATTTAAGACAATAAAAATTACGAATGACAATTTTATTTGTTTAAATTTAAAAGTACAATCACCTGTTTCCATTTGATCTTCTATCTCACATTGAAAACCTTTTTTTAAAGGCAACGCCCGCATTAGGAATATATCCTGTGTCGCGGGTGACTTTACAAACATACATGAAACGGACACAAAGAGCACCCAGACTCAGAACAACAATTTGTGGATCACACAAAGTGTCGTTCGATGTGGGGATAGGACCCATAACACTCAGCGTAGTAGTGAGCGGCGTGGCGACCGCTCAAACCACTACGCCATGTGCAGTCAATTGCACCGGGAATAACACTTATTGGGTATCTTTAAAAGTTTTTTTAGAAAGACAAAGCACTAGGAATATGCCCTAAATTTTGACAAAATTGCCGAGAGAATGAGATGCAGGATTGTACGGAACCCGCACTAGGCAAGTCAGACTCGCAGGACTCCGAATTTTTTTAACGAACATCGTACAGTTGTAAAAGAATAAATCCTAAAATTTCTCATTCTAAAAATCATGAACATTTTATACAATAATGGCCGTCTATATTGTACTTATATGTGTAGCTTTCAACAGCATGATGTGAGTCAAAAAAATGTTTACAAAAACTCAAGAGGGTGCTTGAACAGAATCGAGAACTGACAATCATGTAACTGAAGTAGCCGTTATTATACACTTATTTACGCTTAATTTGACCTCTCAGCACAAGAGCCCCTGCTTCGACGCTTTGTTGATACATTTCGTGTCTAAACAAAACACCGAATCGTTCAAGTATTTTGAAATACTTTATATAATGGCACTTATATGAAAGAGATCTTTAAAAAGATTAACAAACACGGACTCTTCGGCAAAATGAACATCTATAAATATTTTACTTTGTATGATTTTTTATGCCGTCTAATACTAAATAACTACTAAATTATTGTAGTTTTCACATTCCAAATACGATTTCTTGAATCACGATTGGCCCGCACTGAAATCTCCACCATTCGCAACGAAGTGAAATCAATTTGCACTCAGCCCTCTGGTCTATGAGCATGAGCATGACTCTTCCACAGTTTAATTAATTATGAATTTTTGCCCTCCCTACCTGTTTATGTCGGTTATCGCGTTAAAAAGTAACATTGTTACTGGCTGATAATGTTGCTTTACATTAGTGAAGGAATTTTGAAAATCGGTTTACTGCTTTAGGCGTGAAAGCGTAACAAACAGACAAACACACTCACTTTTACATTTATAAGTATCGATGTTGTTTCCTCCATTTTGTGTTTTTTTTCTGTGGATTTGTTGATAAATTTGGATATAAATTTTTGAGATCAATAAGAAGATATAAAACGGTATAAAGATCCCATAGAGACTATCCATGTTATACGTAGAAGATTAAATTAAAAAAAAAACACTACCCTTTCCGTTCTAAAGAAACTTTATACTCGTAGCTATGAATGAATTTAAAGAGCACTACAGCAGATTACGCTCATCCTTTCTTAATAATACTCATCTTAAAAGATACATCTTATCCTAACTGTATATTGACAGGTCGGATTGAATGGTAACCATTTTTGACAGTTTTACGGTATCCGAATCTTTAAAAGATGTTTTTGTATGTCTAGTATGTATTGATGTTCCGCCTCGGAGATCAAGTACGCTTGATCGAAGACCTGTTGGCATGACTGATCGATTTAAGAGGATAGTTCGTGTAATGGATTGGTGTTGCCAATTCATTTGAGTAATTGTTACCTCAACAAGAATTTTACACTCATCAATTGGAACTGTATCTACTGTTTTTATTTTTCTAGTTCAAAATAAAACAGACCAATAAAAACAGTAGATGATAGTTTAGTAGCAGTTATAATGATATTGTGCAACAATTTTTTTCTGATGATTTTAAAGATTGTTTCAGAGTGTAGAAGGAATTATTATATTATTACTGTTAAAGAGTCAGAAACGTCAATATATGATCTGAAAACTATATTATGTTTGAATGTACCTTATATTTAATGTTTTAATTGCGTCTAATGTTTTAAATAGACCTAAAGTTCGGGAAATGACATTTTAGTGGTATAACCGTGGACATCTGAGCTGATGGCTCGAGTCAGTGCCGGGACCTAGGGCATAGCGATGCACTAGGATATCTCAAGAAACTATTTAGCAAAAACCTTTTTAAACACTGATTATGGCGGCGTTGAAAGTGAAATACACTTTTCGTACTATTAGACTTCGACCACCAGAAAGAAAATCTTTTTCTGTCTAATCAAATTCTAGAGCCAGCATGAGTTCCAGTTTTTTTCTGGACCAACTAAAAAACTTCGAAATCCGTATACGTACGTATCACAAATTGATTTATCACTTGCATTAACGGTAAAAAAAAATGTGTGTAAATAAATATTTATTAGTCTAAACGGCTTTTATATTGCTGGCTTTTGAGATCTGAGCTTTTGAGCATTGCATAGCAGCGTATCTGGAGAAGTCTAGCGATGGAAGAATCTCTATACAGAATTTATACCGCCAGGACGACTAGCCACACTGATCACATATGACCAAAGATACTTCTGTTAATTGCGCAACCTTAGTAAAACAGTATTAGGGAAGTATTAGTAGTAGACACGGGTTGGGTTGGTTGAGGAGTGACACACTAGGCCTTTATCAACCACTACCCCTACAGTTAGTTTGTTATAATTTTACAAATGATTTTTAAGGTAGATCAGAGTATGTGTAATATCAATATATTTACATACCTGTATACCTCCATAAGTATAGTTATGTAATCAAAAAATGTTACAAAGTTACAAAACAGCAATGTAATGCATTAAAATAGTTTAGAATTTTACTTCTCTTCTTAACAAGTAGTTGTTACAGTAAACACTTCACATCCAGATTCAGAGGTTGTATAAACTATGCTAAGATCAGTGTCCAAAAACTAAAGCAAATGTTACGAGTGAAATGTTTCTACATTCCTGCTATAAGTTCCTAAGCCTTAAAAAAGCCTACAAAGAAATTAAATGTGTCCCCGATCAAATCTGTATTCAAGGCTCACGGGAAGGTCGATGGGTATTTACCTAATACTATTAGGGAGGATTAGTGTTGTTCTTAATACGAGAAGCCCTAGCACTTGTGAGCGTTCTACGGCGGAATAGTCACTTAACCGCGCGTCTCTCGTATCGGCAACTCGTGCCGCAGAGCGGTGAGTAAATAATTTAAGTAATTTTAGTTTAAGTAATTATTATTATTAAATACTGTTAAGCGTGCTGCAGACCTTTTGTAGTATTCTTTTTTTTTATTTATTTAGTATTTATGATAAACAGTTGCAAAACCTGCATAGTGTCGTGATAAGTGTAAAATGCAAATGACCGCCGGAGTGATTACCACTGCTAATACGTAATTACTTGATCTTACCAATACTTATAAACTTTACTACCTTTTATATCCGTGTGGTGACGGATTAAGAATACGGAGTGTCAACACTTTTTTTCATCCCGTGGGTGTCGTAAGAGCAGACTAAGGGAGCAAACTACGCAGCACAACAGTACTGCAAAGAGAAAAAAAACTTGACACAAACTCTATCCCAAGCCTAAGCTAGCGTGGTAGGCATTGTAGGCCAAAACCTCTTTTCTAAGGAAATTCTTATGTCCAGCAGTGGACTATTAAAGGCTGTTGATGATGATGATGATATCAGTGAGAGTTGAGATTACGAAGTACAAACATAAACTGTATTATTATTTGGTGGTACTTTAATAAATGTTTTTCACTATCACACAGGCTTTTGGAATAAACACATTGTAATACTTATGAAGAACATTAGTAGAACGGCACTATGACGGACGGACTGGTAGTGGCGTCCTTGTCGAGTCCTAATGAGAGGTACAAACTCGAGGGTAAGCTCGGTTCGGGGATCTTCGGCGTGGTGCACCGCGCATCTGATTCTCAGGCAGCTGGTAAAAATGTCGCCGTGAAAATCCAAACTTATATAGACGAGAATGAAATTCACATACAAGAAGAATATAAAATACTCAGGGATTTTTCAAAACATCCGAATCTTGTAGATTTCTACGGTGTATTCTGTGAGAAGTCGGAAGGAGTGAAAAAGATTTGGTTTGTTCTTGAAGTAAGTGGCCGTTATAAGCATTTTATAGGTAAATTTTAAAAACTAAAATATTTTAACTTAAAGCATAATATTATTGAACGTGATTACTACCTACTTTACGATACCTTTACGGGAATTATGATATGAAATGTCTAAATATTGCATTAAGTATTTTCAAATTTTCATAAAATTTTATCTTTTTTTATTATTTGTAGCTATGTGAATGTGGATCTGTCATTGAAATTGTCAGAAAGCTGAAGGCTGCAGACAGAAAAATGTCGGAGGAACATATCGCTTATATCCTCAAATATACGATCAAGGTAAGACCATATTCGACTAACTATAAACATGTCTCTTGTCACATACGAGTCGAGATGGCTGTTTATAAAACAAAGGGCCTGCCAGTCTTCCTTTCAACGGCTGAATCAATTGGTAGGTACTTTGAATGCAAACTCAATTGTTCTCGGATCTGTGTCCCAGCTATTTCTGTTGCTCACGTGACGTCGAATAAAATATTGCCAGGCGAATGTCCACGTACGTTGAAATACAATCTAGAGCCATTACTTAAAATGCACGCCGCTTTATTTGATGTGATTCGCGACGGAACAGTCGAACTTGTCGATGCGAATGTCGGTGCGCGCCCGACAACACCATGATGGCCCCCCATCGTGGCGCATCGCTCAATTATCGTAAATAATGCTCGCGCACACAAGATATACGAACCTCTGACGCAGTAGCCAATGGTCCCTCTAATGCGAAACGAACATTGCAAAGAGATTCTTATTTCGTCCTGTTACGGTTTACGGTTTTAGATTTGCCTTCGTCCATCGAGATCTAAAATTATCGGAGAGGGTTAAATGCGTATTATCTTTATGCAAGCCACTTGGTTCACAATACCGGTGCTCTGTCCTCTTAGTACGGCAGATCTTCGACGCATATCTATCGATGTTGCATCTCGTAAAGTACGATCAGAGACTGACCTGTGAAGTCATTTTTGTCGATACAATACTATCGATGAATATTGCGATAGGTCGATAATTAATTATTTCGTAGTCATCTTTTTTATAAAATCAAATACCAACCAAGCCAATAACAATATAACCCACTACACATCCTTTGACATTTTTTTAAATTTAACTAACACATAACGGAACAGACTGATTCTCATGTTATATTATTCAAGGTATCGCATTTGAGATTGTACCAAATTAATCAAATTTAATACCTACATTAAATTTCGTCCTTTCAATGTACTTGTATTTATGGAGGCAAATACCTATTTAATAAGTATTAGTATAACTTTGATAATGATTAAATAATAAATAGTATTCAATATTTAAAATCGACATATAGCAAGGACGTTCTACATCACTAACAACTAAACGATCGTAATGAACGCATTAAACAAGCTGATATATCAGACGGCGGAGAGCGCGGACAGGCCGCCTGCGACAGCACTGAGCCCCGATGCGTATGCAAATAGCTCCCAATGAATCTTGAGGCGTGGGGATTTGACTGACGTTGACGTTAGTATCGCCAGCTTTAACAATCCCCGCCACATTAGGGGCGGTCAATCCATCACTCCTTGTCAAACTACCGCGTTGGATACCTCGATTGATGCAATCAATTTCCACTTCTCATTTATATTCTAGGCACTCGTTTACTTGCACGAGAACAAAGTGATACACCGCAATATAAGATGCAGTAACATTTTAATCACGAAAGACGGTGAAGTAAAATTATCCGACTTTGGGCTATCTTGCAAGTTGAAAGATACGCTGGATAAAGGTACTACTATCATTGGATCACCGAGCTGGATGGCACCCGAAGTCGTGACTTGTGGTGATGGAGGTTACGATAACAGGATAGATGTATGGGCACTAGGAATAACTACTATTGAATTAGGAGATGGTATAGCGCCATTCCAAGAAATGCATCCAACAAGAGCACTCTTTCAAATTGTAAGAAATCCTCCACCAGGCTTCTCTAAACCTGCAATGTGGTCCAATGATTTAAATGATTTCATTGCAGAGTAAGTATTTCAAATTTTCATGTTTTCATTTTTGACATGAGTAATAAGGTTTAATTTTGCTAAATACTTTCCAGATGTCTTGAAAAGAATCCAGAACATCGACCATACATGGTGGAGTTGGAAGAACATCCTTTTATACAGTTACTCCCCGAAAACGACTATCACGTGAGTTAATTCTTTAATAAAATTAATATTGATAAATACAAGGTTATCCGATTGTGGCAAAACCAAAAAGCAAAGATATTTGTTGGATTTGTATTGGCTATATTTATATATCTATATTATTATTATACTGGCTTTTGCCCACGGCTCCACCTGCGTGTATATCCATTATTGCGGTATAAAATAGTAAAAAATAGTGTGTTACTCGCTTATAAATTAGTTTTGAATTGGTGAAAGAATTTTTAAAATAGGTTAGTGGTTTAGGCGTAAAAGCGTAACAAACTCACTTTTACATTTAAAATACATAAGTATGAAAGTGTGGATGTATGTCTGTACCTAGTTATTAATTAACTACTGAACAATTTCGCAAGTCGTATTTTTTGTAAATGGGGTATGATAAAATGATTTTTGCTTCTAACCTTAACAATGAGCTGTCGAAATATGAATAATAAAATATTCTAATGTACCAGTTAGTATTTCTAATGCACATTGATTCATTTAATAATTTCTTGTTTATAGCTGTCAACAGAATTCAAGATATTGACGGCAGAGTTAAAGGATGTGGTTGATTCCAATAAAATTTTAGAGAGAATCATTCGAAATGGTCTTTTAACGACACAAGGTTCCAAAGAGCCGGAGACTATGCAAGTGGAAGATTTAGCAGCTTTAGAAACATTAACTGAAGACAATATACTAGCGGAGTTACAAACAAAATTAGTGAAGGGTTCATTTACATCCTTTATCGGAGACGTGCTTTTGATTCTGAACCCAAACATAAATGAAGATATTTATAATGAAAATGTTAGTATTTATGCTTCGGCAAAGATGGTCCGGCTCGACCGGTGCGATACAACGGCCTCACAGAAAACTGGTCGTTAAGCAATTTCCCTGTTGCGTTTCACCGTGTGAGTGAGGTTTCCGGAGCCCCCCCTCCCCCCCCCCCAATATCCCCCCTCATGATAGCGTCGTTGGAAAATATTCTAATATGAAAAGATCGAGGCAGTATTTCACTCCGGCCCACCGCCTTCAGCTCTATAAGGCGCAAGTCCGGCCGCATATGGAATACTGTTCTCATATCTATGCAGGGGCACCTCAGTACCAGCTTCTCATTCTGGACCGCGTCCAATCGCCGACAGCCCAAACATCTCCAGTCGGCTCGATCCCTTGGCGTTACGTAGAGATGTGGCTTCACTCTGCATTCTCTATCGCATATATCATGGAGAGTGCTCCGAGGAATCGTTCGGACTAATACCAGCCGAAACTTTCGGCCATCGTTCCACATGGCAAAATTTTCATCCTCATCACCTGGATAGTTGGCGATCCACTACTGTGCGCTTTTCGAGACACTTTTTGCCCCAAACAACCAATATGTGGAACGGGTTATCGTTTGCGGTATTTCCGGACCGATACGACCTTCAAACCTTTAAGAAAAAAGCGTACCCCTTCCTAAAAGGCCGGCAATGCGTTTACGACTCCTGAGTTGCAGACGTTTATCACTTTCCATCAGGTGACTCGTCTGCTCGTCTGCCCCCTCTCACATACAAAGAAAAAAGTTATAGATATAAACAATTTAACGTATACTAAAATTTGTCTTTTTTATTCTAGTACCATAAAAAGTATGAATGCAAATCAAGGTCGGACAACGAACCGCACATATTCGCTGTAGCAGACAGTGCTTACCAATATGCCCTCCATCACAATGAACCACAGCATATTGTGTTTTCTGGTGAAAGTAAATCCGGAAAGACGACAAGTATGATTCATGCACTATCCCACCTTACTTACTTAGGTCCTATGAAAAATAATACAGCCGAAAGGATTCAGAAAGCCACAAAAGTCATTCAAACTGCAATAAGTGCAGCAACTCCCTTGAATGCTCACTCTACCAGAGGGATATTTCAAATTCAGGTCACCTATGGTAGCTCTGGAAAATTAAGTGGTGCCATATTTTGGTTGTATCAATTAGAGAAATGGCGTGTGTCATCCACTGATATGTAAGTATATTTACTACAAAATTGTTGCTGAAAGCAGTAGTAGATTATCCATATAACAGTGTAAAACAGTATCCAGCTATATAACAGTGTTAATATTATTCTCATTTAAAAATAAAATCTTTTTTAGGTGTCAAGCCAACTTTGATCTTCTTTATTGTTTTTACGATGCGATAGATGCTGCAAATCGAAACAATGAAAAATTTTTAGAGAAAGGAAGAAAGCATAGATATTTAAGAATATCAGATGAACCAGTCAAAGGGATGAAGGGGGTCCGTGAAAACTCTGGAAATAACGTAGAACTATATAATGAATTTATAAATAACCTAAAGACCCTAGACTGGGAAGAAGAAGATATAACATTTTTAGAAACGATTCTAGCAGCTATTCTTGTGCTTGGAAATGTCAGATTTAAGGATAGTAAAACCGGAATCGCAGAAATTGAAAATCCTGAAGAAGCTAAAAAAGTGGCCAAGTTATTAGCTCTTGACGAAGTCAAATTTTTGTGGGCTTTACTTAACTATTGTTTGATAGAGAGCGGAAGTGCCGTAAAAAGAAAACACACAACCGATGAAGCACGAGATGCAAGGGATACTTTAGCCAATGCCCTTTACAAGAGATTAATAGACTGGATGATCAATTTAATTAACTCTAAATTGTCATTTATGAGATCTGTATTGTACGTATGTACATATAATTGAACTTACGACATAAATGTACTTTTTATTTTGCAGTAATGTTTTAATTTACGCAATACTTTTGCAGCGGTGATAAATATTCAGTGAGTTTGTTGGACATGTTTGGCTTCGAATGTTACCACAGGAATCGATTGGAACAGTTGATTGTGAATACCACAAACGAACAGATACAATTTCTATACAATCAGAGGATGTTTGCTTGGGAAATGCAGGAGACCGCAGATGAGGAAGTCCCATTTGCTTCCTTGCACTTTTACGATAATAAGAACTCTGTTGATCAATTAATGGGCAGACCTTTGGGTCTCTTTTATATTCTAGATGAAGCAAGTCGTACTGGTAGTGGTCAAGAGTTTATAATGAGTAAGTTTATTAGGATTTTATAAAAGTTAAAACATAATATAGAACCATAGATAATAATAAATTTTATTCTCAGGTACAATTAGAACAAAATGTAAGGGTCCCTACATAAAATTATCTGGCAGTCACGAATTTAGCGTGGCTCATTACACAGGCAAGGTAAACTACGATTGCAGGGAAATGGCTGACAAAAACAAAGATTTTCTACCTCCAGAAATGATAGAGACTATGAGAGCTTCAACCAACATTACCGTTCAACAGTTATTTAGAAACAAACTAACAAAAACCGGAAATTTGACAGTCTCATCTAGTCAATCCAAAGTCACTATCGCAAAGTCTAAATCTGAAAAGGAATTGGAAAATGTGAAAGCAAGGGTATGATTTATTATAAGTATTGATAGAACATTTATTCATTTTCTTAATTACACCAAGGTAAATAAAGTATTAGAAAATAATGCGATTATAAGTGTAGTTCTTACTTTTTTCATTTTTCCAGAAATACAACACAGTTTCAAAAGGTCAATTTTCCCAAGTTCATCGAATGAGAACAGCTGCTGCAACTTACCGAGCTACTAGTTTGGAAATCCTGAAGCAACTTTCCATCGGACCTGGCAGCGGAGGAACGCACTACATCAGATGTATTAGACCTGACTTGAATGATAACCCTAAGGGTTTCCAAACCGAAGTTGTGAGGCAACAGCTTAGAGCTTTAGCTATTTTAGATACCGCAAAAGCGAGACAAAATGGATTCTCCTATCGTATACCGTTTGAGGAGTTTATTCGAAGGTAACAACGGTTATCAATAACTATAATAATAATATACCTCACACATCCCACACACGGCCGTCTGATCCCAAACTAGGCAGAACCTAAACTATGGTAACCAGACCGCTGATAAACATACTTATATATTTTTAAATATATACATGTTATAGATTAATTACACCCAGACACAGAACAAGTGACCGTGCTCATCACACAATACTTGTTCTGCGTGGGAATCGAACCCACGACATCCGGTTTAGCAGTCAGGGTCACTAAAAACTAGACCAACAGGCCCGTCAAACTATGCTTTTTGCCAATGTCATATACTGGGAATAAGCACCTAAGTGCTGGGGTTTTTCGTCTCTGTATGTTAAACCTCTGCATAAGGCCAAAGTAAAGAAACGTATTTGTTCATGTGTAAATTAAGTACTTTCATTGTTTTTCTGAAACTTTATGTTCACAGATTCCGATTCCTAGCATTTGATTTTGATGAAAATGTCGAGGTAACTAAAGACAATTGCAGGTTACTGTTGATTCGTTTAAAGATGGAGGGCTGGGTACTTGGGAAGACGAAAGTTTTTTTAAAATATTACAATGAAGAATTCTTATCAAGGTAATCTATAAATATTTGTTTACCGACTTCAATAAAGAAAACATCCAAATTTGTCCAAGAGGATTTGTGAAAAATAGTGTGTTTTATAGCCAGAAATTCACGAACATTCAAATGCAATGAATTGACAGAACAACAACACTTATGTTGGACGTAGTAGGTTTGACTCCTCGAACTCATATCACTACTAACACTACGCTTTCTACTTTCCTAGCGAGTTATGTTTTAATAATTTTGAATATTTGAAATTTATGTACCGGTAAAGTATTTGAAATCTAACTAAAGACACCGTAATTAATATTTACAGGCTTTATGAAACTAAAGTAAAAAAAATAATAAAAGTTCAGTGTATGATGAGAGCTTTCTTAGCGAGGAGAAAAGCAAAAAAAGACAAATCGAAAATGATTCACAGTAAGTTTATAATTTAATTTGATCAGATTCGTTTAAAGTGCTATAATTAACATCAGTTTTATTATGTTATAGTCAGAGAACTCAAGAAACAACAATCTTTGAATGTAACCGAGGACGAAGCTGCATTGCTGATACAAAAAGGTATTTAATATTTTTATTATCCAATTATCCTTCCAATCACAGAGCATTCTTGTATACGAACCTAGTTACTTCGAACTGCAGTCTCACCGTTTCTTTAGGTTCCGTTTCTTTTCTCCAATGCACCTTCAGCTCCAGCTTTTCTATTACATTCCCAAGGATAGTTAGTGTAAAGTAGCCGAAGCCTTTTGCTATGTTACATATTGCCCCGACCCGAAATAAAATAAGAGAAAGGGCAGAAAATAATAATAATGATGATTGAAGAATTGAAGAAGAGAAATGAAGAATAATAATAATAATGATATTCCTACCAAATTTCAAGTCTTTAGCTCTAATTGTTCCAGAGATATCGTGATGAGTGACTATATACGTGGAAATCTCTTATATATATATATATATATAGATAAATAAAATAAATATGATATACGTGTGGCCACTTCCACATACGGTAAAATATACTACAGTGCCATCTAACGAAGACACACCGAACTACGGAGTAACTGCTAATACTGTTTCGCAATTTAAATAATTCTCGCAGCGATTAGCAAACATACAACTTCCCAACATCAACCGTTGCGCCGCGGCCCGCCAAGCGTGATCACCTCGCCTGGTCGGAGGATCCTCTCTTTGTGTTGGAGGGACACGACAGCCGTTCCTCCATATACACATGCCAAATTATCTTTTAAAATACGTACCCAATTCTTATGTACACTCGAAAACTTTGTTAGGTACTATCAGTATTACAAATGGCAACTGATTAAAGCAATAGTTACTTCATCTCTGCACCAAACGTAGCCATCTACACAGGGTCAAATTTTTCTATCACTTCTGGAATAAAGTTTAAATGAAGAATTAATGCTTTTTGTAAGTAACGGAACTCGCTTTTTCTTTAGCATACCGAGGCTACATAGTTCGGAAAGCCTACGGACCATTAATAAATAAGTCAACCGGACAGATCGACGAAGAAACAGCAAAATTCCTAAAAAGATTCGCCATGAAGTGGAAAAGCAGATCTATATTTCAAGTGTTGCTACAATATCGTGCCGTGCGATATCAAGATTTGGTACATTTCTCACAGCAGGTAAATTTTTAAGGCTTTTTTAATTTTTATCGTGATCGGGCCAAAAACACTATGACCTACTACTACCATGAAACCACATATTACTCACATTGTCACTAAAGTTACAAGAAGGATCTATTCCAAAGTTTGGGTCACTAACTAGAATAAAATTTAATTGTAAAATTTAACCGTCATAAAAAAAGCAAAACAATTAAATAGACATTTAAACTGTTTCCAGGTACACATCTACAACCAGGCAGTTCTGGAAGCACTGCTAAACATAAGCACTTCAGTGCTGCTAGACCGTGTTGATCCGCAAACTAAGGAAGCCGATTTCCTAGGCTCTGGGCCACCGACTGTGTGGAAACTGCCTTTCCGGATTGACCAATTACAGTACTACGATACTTCTGACATGTGTGACCCATCAGCTAAATGCACGTAAGAGTTAAAAACCAAATTATTGGTAGTATTTCACACCGATCTGACTACTTCTAGTTTTACAAATGCCAAAACTGAGAAGCAATCCCTACAAAGTGATATGTAGGTACATCTGTATGATAGATGATGCATGAAGCAGTCTCTGACTCTAACAAATTGCAGAATTATTTATCTGTCATGGTACTTCTTAAATGAGAACAACATTTTCAGACGGTCTGCAACATGCGATATACACCTGCCCAACATCGGAAATTAATCAGCTGGTAATGGCCGAAATCTAAATGATAACTACTCAACTATAAGATGTCCTCAAATCTCGTGCTTTCGCTACATTTTGATTTAGTATCATTGTCAGTATCAGACAGAATGTCAATATTTTAGAATACAATAACAAAAAAACAATTAGATATCCTCTCCCTCTGTTACCGACCTCACATAGCAGTTGCCAAGTAAAGGATCTGGTTATAAGTTTACTTAAAAAAACTAATGTTAAATTTATTCTTGTAGCGATACATTTGCCAGTCAATATGATTCTGACCACGAGCAGTGGGATGAACCGTTGAAACGTCGTTTTAATTCAGCACAAATCGACATTGGCACAACATCGGCGAGCACTCAGACCCTCATCACAGTGCCGTTCTGCAGAGATCCCACACAACCCGTGTTGCCGTTGCCACCTGATGAAGAGAAACTGCCAACATCGAAACCATCTCGAAAGGATAGCAACAGACCTGCAGTGTACAAAAAAAAACCCTGTCAGTCCCCGCAGAGTTTCTACCAGCCCCCAGAACCATGGACTGGAGTGAAGGATGACACTGATATCCTCGAAGATACTGCGCCTAAGCTTCGCAAATCGACCTATAGCAAAAGTCTCTACTCTATAGATAGAGAGGGCCAAGATCCTATAAGGGAACTACAAGCCATGGCGAAATCGACTAGCGACATGAACGATGACGATCCTCCCTTCAACTTTCAAGCTATGCTTAAGAAAACACCAAGAAACAGGGCTTCGATGAAGAGGTCTAATGAATTACAAAACGATTTTCAGAGCAATGAGGTTGTTTCTAAGCACATTATATCACCAAGTAAGGCTAAACCACCGGCTGCTCCTAGAATTGCGCCTACTCCTCCGCCCACCAAAAGACCTGCTCCAACTCCACCACCATGTGCAAATACACCACCTTCTCGGCCTCCAAGTAAAGAGATTATAAGACAAAACTCAAAAGACCTACTTATCGCTGCTCTCAAAAAGAGAAATTCTAAAACAGATCTCTCTTGCAAAGTGGATAACGAAATGGAAAATGAAAAGGTTGAACTGGCACCTGGGATCACTGTCGAAGGGATAGTCACAGATCTATAAAACGCCAATAGAGTTTGTAAAAAATATATTTAATCTCCATTGCATTAGGAGTCCACACACATTTTTTTTTATTAACTTGTTATGGCGTTACAATGTTAATATATTTTGACGATTAAGTTAAAGCCATAAGTTTTACGTTAAGTCATACGATTTCTTGTTACGAATGAATAATTTATATAATTTTATCTCAATAGAGTTAAGTATACTAAATTCCAAGATGATTTTTAATTAAAGCGAATTATGGCGAAATATTTTGTTATGTAATACGTTACATGATTTATTACTTCATACAAAAATAATTCAAATTTTATATTAAATCTTAAAGTATCTTATTCGAAATTGCTTTGGTAACTTATTACATGAGCTTATACCTAGAAGTGTTTATTTAGCTGAAATTACAGTGAAAACAGATAGTTTACTTATGGTCCATATAAGTTTTATAGCATTTAATCATGAGCGATATATTCAAAGCTAAGTGTTACAAAATAAATTAATAACTATTTTAAATATTTGTTTTCTTTATTTCATTTTAAATTAATCATATTTTACTAATTTAAGTGTCAGATCGTTGATTCCTGAATTTCAAAATTTTGTTTTAATTGTATGTGAATTGTATTACCATGTTCACACAGAGCACTTAAAATATATCGCCTAAAAAACACAAAGGACAGTTTTAAGTGCTTATAATATTATGCTTTACATCACATTGTTATTATACACTGAAGCTCGATCGAATAAATCATTTGTACAGTTTGATATGTCTATTATAACATTATATTGAAGAACTACATAATTGGCCAGACAGAGAATGAAAGTACTACAGGTACCTTTAATATTAGGTTAGATTGAGATACTAAATCAATCCCACACAAGAATACCTAAATGAACTTACAAAATTTATATTCAACAGCCAAATGTCAGTCGTTAGGATAGGCGTACACTAAGTTTATTTTGGCAACAAGTAACTCATTATAAATATAATATATAATCCGTGGCCGTAACTTGAGACTTGTCTGGAATGCGACTCCCCGCCCGCTCCCCTGTCAGTTCACTTCGAGCGCCCTCGTTGTACTTAAGGCAACACCATTTTTTCTAACAAATTTTATTCTCATACTGGCATACGTCACGTAACGACGACGCACTCCTATTGTTATCAGATTTCCTGTTACATTTTGTTGTTGATCTTGTTATCGTTTTGTTACTAGACTTTCTGTTACATTTTGTTATTAATCTTGTTATTGTTTTGTTATTAGACTCTCTGTTGCATGTTATTGTTATTTTTGTGTAATTTTCTTGTTAGATTTTTTTATTAATTTTTAGGAAAGTTAACAGACCAATATTAATACAGACAGGTGATTAACACTTAAATTGCTAATAACAAGCTTCCACAAAATACTTGTTCGTAGCCTAATAATTCACGCAAACAATGTATAAACTGTTTTTAGGATCATAGGATCAGTATAATAATAAAAGATTAATATAATGTGTCGGATTTTTGAGTAAAACACTTTTTCTATGTTATTTCTTACATTAAAAAGTTCAGGTCTTAAGTTACGGCGCACGGATTACACCAACCAGGTTAATGCACGACTTTGAGGCCTCGAAATCAATTTACTTTTTTTAAACCGTCTTTTAATACTACATCACAATGAATAGTAAACTGCATACTTCATTATTTCATTTTCCACCCTTAATTAGGTGTTTTTCCTTCAAATTTGGATGGGACCAGACGTGACCAGACATCCTCCCAAATTACACAGATTACGAAATCGATTCATAAATGACAGATAATCGATACATAAACGACAGAGAATCGATTCTTAAATGACAGAGAATTGATTCATAAATGACAGAGAATCGATTCATAAATGACAGAGAATTGATTCATAAATGACGATGCGACTTAATTACAATGCTGCGTCCTAACACAAAAGTTTTTCTGATATACTCTTAATGTGCGCCTAACCTCCGAGATGAAATTCTGTGGTACAATATTTGTAAATTAATTGGTACAAATCAACAGTACTTTTATTCACATCATCTTAAACTTATTTTCACGTAGCAATATTGACAGTAACGAAGTGAATTATAAATATCTGGGCCTGGCATTTTCCTGTGTGGCTTAGCGTTTAACAAAGCATAGATTACTACAATATGAAAATGTGTACTTAAATATACGACCACAAATTTGCACCGGCTTATACACCTAATCACTATTTATAATACAATAAAGTACCAAAATATAGCGTCTACTTCATTTTAATTATTTTTTATATAATTTAGTCCTCTCAATACTGACTGACAATATTACTCTTACTTAAATAATCTAAAATCACATCCGAACTTTATTGCCGAATAATAATTGACTTAAAACTACGATTTAGAAAAATATATCAATAGGTTATAAAAATATCGATGTTTAGTACTAAGTTAATCTTAAGCTCTATTATTCAGTCAGTGTCAAAATGTTTTAAATGTCAAAATATGGAATATTATGTTTTGAGTGAAAATTAAATTATAGGATCTTGTAAAATGTATATGTAGTTTAATATTTAAAAAAATATGTAATTCCTAATGGATACATTAAACACTTTATTGTATTGTTAATTTAGTTTTGCATTAAATGCACAGAAATAATCAATATTTATGAAATCAAATATAATAAAGAATTACAATTTCCTTCTTTGATATTAAAATATGTTTTACACAAATAGTTAATTAAATATTGTAAAATCGAACCAGGAAACTTTATAGCATTCCTAATAACACACAAACACTGAATTATATTAATAAATGACCATTACTTATCGCTTTGAGATCATCACAACAAACCCTACACGTATTAATTATTTACATTTTTTTATTACTCGTGTTTAATGAGATAAGTATATATCGCTTAAATTACTTTTTTTATATTTCCAAAATTATATCCGATGCTTACGCTATTTTTTCCTTTCGTATGTTTATCATCAAAGTGCGAAGAAGATATTTTGGCGTGCGGGTAAATGGATCTACGATTTCACATCAATCATTTTTCGAAAGTTTTTACCTTAAAGAAATAGCATTTCACTCTATTAAAATGCATAGTCTACGTTTTATATCTGGATGAATAACGTATTCTCTTAGAGTAGACTTTAAACTTCCGCGACCTGAGAGTTTTTGTCCACGCACCAAAAGATAATTTCCGCACTTATTATTAATTTTATGATGAAATATAATAAACAAATTTAAACACCTCCTGTTGGTGAACATAGTGGATTTTACGAACAATTAGAGTAAAGAATAAACTTAAAGTTAGTAAAAAAGGTGCAAAACAAGTGTACACTTTTAATGTTACATAATGCCTGTACTGGCCATGTACTAAGATCGCAGACCACTCTTAATAGTGTTCTACACACTAACTATGATTTATTTATTGAATACGTGGAAAAGCGGTATGGCTAAAATGATTACTTCCTATAAATAAATATAAAATTAATTTATAATATATAGCTGGAATCCAATCCCAATTTTCATAAATCCAAATTCACGTATAAACTTCATTTGTAAGTTGCATGTGAATGCTATTGAAGCCACTAAATATGTAAGATCATTGTATGCGCATGGAGCCTGCATGACGTGAAGCTACAAATATCTGCTTTTTCTTTTAGTGTAGCATGTAAAAGCATGTAATTTTATTGATACTGTCAAGTGATCATGAAGATGTGATAATAGCATACGCTTTCATTAGAAGATGACCGTTTTTCAGAAGCTATTTCAGTATTTCAAACAGTATACCGAAAGACTAAAGCTGCTAATAGACATTTAATCCCCATCGTGTGACTATTAATACAATATGTTTTAAGTCATGCAGTTCGCTTGAGTGACATGACATGTTGCCGCTTAAGGTGCATAACGCTTCCGTGCCACTATGGAAATAGGACGACGGCGAATGGCAAAAGCATACATTAGACATTATATCTAAAATCATATTTCATGAGATTCTTGAACAGGTCAACATTTGCTAAACATTATCAAATCGTTACTAAGGCTGGCCACACTTGGCAAACATTTTTATGCTTCTTTCATTTATTTTAAAGTGTTTTTAAATAAAAAATTGAAATATGAGGTAACTATGGATCGATATGAAACAGAAAATATCAAATAAAAAATGAAAAGATGGTAGTATAAGTTACTTGCTTAAATTTGATAACGCTCCTATGAAATGTTAGTCATACCATCTATCAACGTGTTTTACGAGCAAACAATCAATGAGAATGTTCAATTACATGGTAAATTTATTTCAAAGCCTTTGCAATATTCTCATGACAATGGGGAACTCCGCTGACCATTAATAGATGTCACAATATTCATGTTGGCGTTGTATAAAGATATAACATTTTATTTAGAAAAGGTCAACTAACCTAACACAGGATTTGTAAATCAGCAGTGTGTCCTCAATTAGAATTTTATTATATACGAGAAATCTTTCGTTCGGTATAATTTTTACGAGAATACATAAAATTAATTGGTAATCGAAAAGGCATTTCATTTTTTGCCCTGGTAACATTATGGCAACTTCGGCAAGTGTCGCCAGTAAATAGAAAATGACACGAGACACACAGATTACGAAAGAGGTCCTATTACCTGCCCATAAAGTAAACGCTTATCGGTAGTCTCAGACCAGTAGCTGCGTGACGTTGGGCTCGTTGAGCGTGAGCACGGCGTGCGCCTCGACCATGACGACGAGCGAGTTGCGCGCCTCCTCGTGCGGCACGCCGTGCGCGCGCGTGGCGTGGCTGTACCACGCGCCCGTCGACGACAACACCGACACGCACCACTTACAAGATAATCTGAAATCGACCACTTCATATAAAATATACACCTATTATTTTATAAAGCTGGGTCATGAGCGTTCTAATCTGTTGTAAAAAATACACGGCACCAATTTTTTTTTAAATCCTAACGGGTGTACACCTTGACAGGATCGAAAGGTACGATTAGTCGAACTCGAACCGAATAAAACCACACAATGTTCCGTTACAAGTATAATTGGCAATGCCAAAGATGTACCTTGGAATGGAAACTCCCGCATGCAACTGTTTTTTATTGTATGTGGGGCAAAGGAGCAGACGGGTCACTTGAAGGCATTTGACTACTGTTGCCCAAGGACACCTGCAACTAAGAGTCACTATTGCATTACCACATTTTGAGTGCCCTCCTTCCAGGATTTGGGAGGGGTAGGAGGGTTTGGGGCTGCGGCAACCCCGCTCACTTACTCGGCCAGTGGAAAGCAATGAAACATGGCTCTGAATACGTAAACTAATGTGTAAAGCTGTTTCCAATATCTCATTTAAACTAACCTGTTAGTAACGTGCCTCGATTTTACATGTCGTCGTCTATAGCCCCAACTATTGTAGACGCGAGGACAAAAAGGACATGGGAACGACGGATCTGAAAAATATGTATAAGATGAAAAATAAATAGAAAAATGCAGTTACTTTAGTGTAAAATTACAATTTTCTCATTAAATTACAAAATACTTTCAAGAATATATTTAGTACAGAATGTATAATAGTAATTAATTAAAGAAATATACTAAGGCCTACTACAGTAATAATTAAAAAATATATATTGATGTCATATGGTTTATAAAGAATAGTAGAGACCTGAATATCAAATTTTTACTATGAATCTTGTCAGTTGAGTCTGGTTGACTCACATAAGTGACTAGGTTGCTAGAGCTGTATTGGCAATATTCTAGTAACATCACTTAAGGTGTTTCTTATTTAGTACTACAAAAATACTAAAATCAAGCAGACCATCTTATAACTGTGATCTCTTGCTTAGTATGAAGATGTAATTCCACTGAGCCAATCAACACTGCTCTAACTTAATTAGATAGTTCATTTTCAAACATGTTATCACATAAAACATTTAAACAATTATTATTACCTTTACAATTTTGAGCCTCACTAGACACAGAATTGAGACTCTCAGTTTTGATACTCAACGACTCGATCCTTGTTCCACTTTGCAGCACAGTTTCCACTTCTTTATCAATTTCTATAATTGTATCAGCATTATTTGCATTAATCTTTTCATTCAGGCATGGCTGTGTGCTGCTAACTTCAATTTTGTCAATACGTTCATTCAAACACTTATTAGAACAATTTTCAGGATTGATATTGTGTTTCTTTTCTGAACTATCTTCAAGTAATGCAATATCTGTGTCATTTGTATTATCGCCGGAATAGTCCGTAAGAGGTGATTCCACAGGTTCAATTTTAAGTATAATGTTCTAAAAAAAAAATAGTTTTGTATAAGTTAATTGTTTACCAATCAAATCACAACCGCAGCTGAAATAAAACATTTGGGAACACAGTGTTAATAAATTTTAAAAATTATTAAAACATTATTTATTACACAAAAAAGATGCAGGTATGACAAATCATAAAAAACATGAATAATATTTAATATAATTAACTAAGTTAGTAGATGAAGAAGAAATAAGTACCTTTAGAAGGCAGGTATATTTAGGAATTTATGACAGCATAGGCAAGTTTTTATATATTTACAATGACACTTACTGATTGTTTTCCATTATCTGAACATATTTTGTGTACTACATCGGTTTCAATAGGGGTGGTACATTTCTTGCATTTATTGTTGTTATTATGTTCAGCATTCTTGCGTTTCTTTGATTGTGTCGCCGCTGCTCCCTTCTGAAAATATAGAGGTTACCGTTTTTGGTTAAAAAAAACACCAACACCTTTTGCAATGCCTAAATTTTATCTAAATCTTAACTTGTAGTAAATCTCCTGAATATTTCTCTAGAGTTCAGTTCATTTTAGTTGCATTTTGCACCTCCGCTCATATAACGTCACAACTCAAAAATCTGGACAAAAATATTGATTTTAAAAAGTCACATAATAAACATCATCCTTACATTGATTTTCTTTGTGGTTTGGTCCTCAAGTACAGCAATGTCACCATCGTTTGTATTATCTCCCGAATAGTCTGTTAGTGGTGATTCTATAGACTCATATTTTGGAATGGCACTCTGAAATATAATGATGTTTTTGTAACATCTATATACACAACATTAAGTGTGTTAGAGTATGCTTCAAAAACTCAAATAGTTCTGCACTAGCTGAGCTCAAATTTTGACACAATATATAGACTGCTTCAAGGATTGCTTTTTATCTATTTTTTGCATTAATTTTGGTACTCATTTTACATGCCACCACATTGTGCCACAGTGAAGAGAGGCAAGGTACAGTACTGTCAAATTTTCTAATAAGATAAAAATTGAATGGCAGACTTTTATAGCAAGGTAAATAAAAGCATTATTAAAATAGAAATATACACAGCTTACATTGTGAGTGACGTCAAGTCTACCTTGTACCAAAACACATTTCTTACACCGAACTGTCCCATCTTCGTGTTCACCTTTCTTACGTTTTTTTGGTAAACTTGTAGATGTTTTCTAAAATAATATTAAGTGGTTTAATGTAATTCAAACGTAAAAAAAAAAAACCTGTAGACCCACCAGTATATGGCATAGCAGTGGGACTAGGGGTAAAAGGCGAACAAAATACATAACTACAAAAGCGTTGGATAAAATTAGATATTTCCAGGTGGTCCAATTTCAACCAATGTAATTCAATTACTTCAAAATCTTTTCTTTCTCATCATTTAGACCAGTGAATTACTATATATTTGATCCAAGTTATACATATAAAAATATAAGTCGGTTTGTGTACGCTTAATAGCTCAAAGTTCTGCACCAAGTTCAAATTTTGACATGATATACAAACTGCTTCAAAATTTGTTTTTATCTATTTTTCACATTCATTTTCTCTCATCTCTTTTTCAGTCCTCATTTCTGATCAATGCTACCACAATGTGGCACAGTCATTCATCTTAATATACAGATAATTGTTTATATACGGGTAGAAAGCTAAAAGCCTTCCTAGGCTTCTTATACATGGAAATTTCAAATTTAAATATGCCAAATTATACAATTGTCTGGGAAAAATTTGTTTAAAATAATCACATCACATCACATCAACATCAACAGCCTTTAATAGTCCACTGCTGGACATAGGTCTCTCCTAAGAAAGGAGGCTTAAAACAATACTCGTCTTATTATTATACAGAAATACTAACATCATCGTCGCGAGAAACTTCACTGCTAGTAGACAAGCCACAGATCCTTAGTGTTTCTGCTGTTTTTAACAACACTGGCAAGAATTCTTCTGTCACATTTACTTCTCCATTATACATGAAAGTCATTAGTGTCTTTAGAGCCGCCGTACTGATATCATGGAGTACTATAATTGGATCCTTGTGGGGGTTTTGCTAATAAAAAATGTGTGGGTGTTAGACTTCACGTAAAAGTTGCCGCATTAATACAAGATGAAGCTTTTACACAAGATTACCTGGAAGATTGTCCTGAATACAGGACTGTTTGCTGATAATATAACCTTATGAGCTTTAAAACAATGCCCTTCGGAAACTAAAGTAACATCCGACAAGCCTTCGTCTTTGAACAGTTCTTTCACATTGAATAGTATGTTATTCTGATAGCCATTCCATTTTAAACTTATTTCCTGATTAGCCATAATTAGCCTTCTATATAACCATGTAGAAAACAATCACATCGATTTCCTAAAAACTAAAGATATAAATAATGTACAAACAATACATAGAATTGCAAGAAAACGTCGAAAACAATAACGCAAATAATCCGTTCCACAGAATATAAATAAAATTGACAAAGTAACAATGTTGCTAGTAATATTTGCACGTCAAATCATGTCTTTTTATTCTGCATTAGAATCCATTTAATTGTTGTGTAAAAATGTTATAAACAAGATTAGGCCATATTTTTAATTAACACGAATAGTTTGGTTGTCTTACATAAGTAGGCAATTTATAGAAGTAGACATTTGACACATTTTGTTTGATTACTCATTTACATTCTTATGACAATTAGATGCCTTATTGAAAATTAAGGCGCATCTCAGTGGTAAGGGTAAACTTCCAAGGGTGTAAGCGGTAAGATGTAATCTACTAGTGTAAATAACCAGTAAGATGGTCGATAGTATATTCTTGACGATCTTTTTTTAAGATGTAGGGGATGTAAGCGAGCAGAAGGGTCACCTGATGGAAAGTGACTATCGCTGCCAATGAACGCTTGCAACTCAGGAGTCAGAAGCGAGTTGCAGATCCTTTTAATTTAACAGTGGGTAGATCTAATCATATACAATACTGTTTTACAATATATACAAATGTATGTTGACAAGGACATCGCTTTGTCTACTTGTTCGGCCATCAATTCAAATTATAGGGAGCCGTAATTTGATCCCACTCACGTAATAAGTGGCAAGCCAAGTATTCAACTGAGGTCTTATGGATTTTGAAGAAATTTACTGGGGAGTGTAAGCAATAGCAATAGCAGGTCAGGCTTGTATACCTGATAACAAGATGTACCATTGGCTCTTTAGGACGTCGAAGGTATGTTTTAGAGAAATTATGTCAACAAATCATGTCCGTACTGTTGGTCAAAATCAATTTAATGAACGACCGGCATTGACAATTATTATTATTATTATTATGTCAAGAAAATATGTGGTTTAGTCGTAATTTATTTTATCTGACCTTGATAATCAATAAGACAAGATAAAAAGAATACGGTTTGGAAACAGAAATTATGACTGATAGGGTACCATTTAAATTAGGTACATTCAGTAAATCTTCGAGGAAGATCACTACTTGAATATATTAGATTTAATTCTGTCACACCGTCAGACGAAATAGTTCTGAAACTAGAAAATAGAACTGGAATGAAATACTGTCTCGATTTGTACAGCACACCAACCTTTTTTCATTTTTAGTAAAAAGTACGGAATTCCATTAGAAAAGTATTTAAAGTCTTAGTGTCTTTCTAAAAACGCAGGCACGGTGAGACATGGGGAATGATTGAAATGATGATGAGGATGTTGATAAAATTACTAAGTATAATATAAGTATTCGTTGCACACTGTAGGGAATATTCGTCGTCCACAAAAATATTCCCGTATTAGACATAAGAAGAATGGTATGTATATAGGCGAGCTTTACCCATACTTGAGTGCTTTTTATTTCTTATAAACATTTTGTAATCATAAACCTGGCTGTAGAAGCGAAGCACCACAAAACAATATTTAAAGTAGTGGACATCCGCAAGGCACAACTATACCTATATAATTTTATGGACTTTATTTTTCATATTCCTGTAGGAAAAGCAAACATTTGTAAAATAAATCAAACCTTTTAATATTAACTCAAATATTTATTTACACCTGATATAAATCTACAGAACCACTTAAAGCCCTACGGAAATACATAACTGGGTCACTAAACAATATCTGTACATTGCCCTGAAAATGGGCTATCGCTATCAATCAAATAATCCAGCTCTTGTGAAACTATTGTTTTACTTAATCAACAGTCTCTTAACATCTATTATTGATACTTCATTTACTATAAAATGATTCAATAGTTCCGTTCATCGGCTGTAGTAATTAGTCTTATTTCAACATGTTTTGTTCTGCAATAATAACATTAGCCGTAGTTACAGTGCTTTTTGTACAAATAATGGCACTTGATTTGTCATTGTACAAGACTACTTTAGATATTTTAGAAGACGCTCGGTTAGATACTGTAAGTTTATTTTTTGTTATTATGCGTGTACGTAAGTTATTGTCATACCATTCTAGTCTTTTATTAAATATTCATCACAGCAACTTACCTACTAAGTATGAACAATACTCGAATGATTTTTATTTTCCAATTAAAATGTCTGTACCTAATCCACTGCTCACGATCCACTTAGAGTAAGCAAAAAAATGATTGAATTTGCTCAAGTATTAAGTCAAACCATCAGGGAAAATATACAGGAGTGCTATAACAACAGCAGTTGCACGTTATTTCGAAAAGTCGCTAATGTTTAGGCTGTTGCTTGCAGTTCGTGTACTAAGCAGACACAAATCAGAGAACGCGGACGTAATCATTTGCTATCATTTTTGTTAGATTATCGGATTGAGATTAGGATGTCCCTAGTAGCTGACTAGCCTTTTGGTTTAGTAGGTATTTAGTGATCCTGACTGCTGAGTGTCTGACTTATCGCGAGTTCGATTCTCACCGAGGACAAGTAATTATCTGATGAGTACGATCATTTGTTCTTGCCATTCGTACCTATTGTGTGTAAGAACACATATGTTAGAACGCACGACTACGCAAGTATATTCAGAAAGCCGCTAGAAGAATATTCAAGCAGCGAATTCAAATGCACCTATTCGCTAGACTACATTGGGCTAATTGTTGTTACGATTTTCAGCTGTCAGAAATGCTTGCGCGATTTAGTGCTAAACCGTTGTTGACTCATACAAATGATTTTAATTGTTGCAATAAGTATATGCAACATTCAAGAACAGTGTTTTTAACCAATTTGAACATCACCCGTCAGCCCTGAGCATGAATGATAAACGCATTCACTATGTTCGAGGACTCTTTAATATATATTTTTTAGGGAACAGACAGACAGACGGACACACTTTCGCATTTGCAATATTAGTATGGATATTTCTACAGAATAATTTCGATATGTCACATCTGTCAGACGTCTGTCGAAGGCATAATTTTTTAAACGTGAAGTACTTCCTGTTTTATCTGCATTACCCAATGGTTGAGTGGTAGAGCATATCTTAGGCATTAAGTCCGCCAATGCACCAAATGTGCATGATGTGTAAATAAATAAATAATTTCTTGTTCACTTGGGTTTGTCGGCTCTTCGTTCTTCGTCCAAACTATCCTCTTGTGGAATGCGCTTCCTCTCGAAGTCAGCATGGCAAAAAAACGGTACTCTTTTAAGACGAAAGTAAAAGACCTTGTGCTGAATGACATAGCAGATTCAACGAGCTCCTGGTTCAACACCAAGAGTTATTATATGTATGTGTGGAGGTATATATATACACCAAATTCAAAAATAGTTGGTATTCAATAAAACCTCTATCATTTATTACCCTCCCATAAATGCATGCACAAATGCACCTACCTCATTCTTTCTCGGTGCCCAATCGGTCGACTGGCAGAGGAAACCCAAATTGGGTAAGACCCAAATGTCATATTTAGGAAACATTTCTACTAGAAGAAGTGCACGGAGCTAAAATATTTAAATAACATGACACCAGCCGACATTTAGTATTAATAAAAAGTTTACCCGTATCTTGAAGTTATTACGAGTATGGAAATAATAAAGTAGGTACTTCCTTTATTTGTTGTTTTACATTAATTAATTTCTGTAAATTTTTACATGATATCGTACTGTATTGTACCAATATAGAGTAAAATACCTCCGTAAAACCCATAAATGCAGCTATTAATTTTGAAAGGTGAGTAAGGTGATACTTAAAAACTTCTGTGGTGTAATCCCTTCAGACTCAGCATACCTACTATTCTGAGTATTACTCAGAAAGTGATCTTGAGTTCTGATCATATATTTGTCCAAAAACCTGAGCAAAAGTAAACAAATACGTAGAAACTAATGCTGGTGGACTAACAGAAGGAAACGTCTATAACCAGTATTAATAATACGAGTGTATAAGTGTAAAAGTCATAGTTTGAAAGAAATACCAATAATTTTTATTTATAGGAAAATACCTTATTATCAACAACCTTTACTAGTCTACTGCTGGACATAGGTCTCTCCTTAGAATGGAGGTTTTTGCCAAGCGGCTTGGTATAGGGTTTGTTTCAGATTTTCCTCCTCTTTACAGAGCTGTTGTCCTAGGTAGTTTTGCTCCCTTAATGGACTCTTATGACACCCAGGGGATGAATAGGATATTCATAGGATTTACAATGCCAATTAAAGTCGAACCAGTTTAGTTTATCTAGAATACACAGTCATCCGATCACACACCTTTAATAGGTACTAAATTTAAATAAATCAATAGTTAAATCAGAATCCAGGACTGCAAGAATGTCGTAGTGGTTTAAGCGGTTGCCACGCCGCTTCCTACTACGCTGAGTGTTGTGGGTTCGATCCCCACATGGCATATGGCGATGGTCACTTTTCATCAGGTGACCCGTCTGCTCGTCTGCCCCCTCTAACAAAAACATGGGACGACACTTTGTGTAATCCTCAAAATGATGTTCTCATTCTGGGTGTTCTTTATGTCCTAGTGAGGGATTTGTCTTTTTAAAAAGCAATAAAGGAAAAGAAGTGCAGTGAACTGTTTGATTTTAGTTGTAGGTTTTCAAAGGTATTGAATCAACGCTTTGTATCTAGTATCTATTCTATTATTTTTAGTTTTCCTTAATTAAAAAATATGGATATCCATGTGAAATACATCGTGTCATAACAGAAGATAAATACGTACTGGAGATGCATCGAGTACCTCATGGACGGAACAATTTGAATGATAAACCTAAAGGCGTGGTTTTTCTCCAGCATGGTCTGTTGTCTTCTTCAGCTGAATGGGTACTAATGTCACCTGGCAAAGGCTTTGGTAAGAATGAGTTATTAAAAGTTTGTTTAGCTACACTTGTAACCAGTTTACTATCTTTTTTTTTTCTGTGTGGAAATCCCCTCGGATACCACCCACCGGTGGCTATGTCGGACTCGAACCGATTAAAAACCGCACGCCGTCTCGGGTACCAGTAACCGGGGAACCAGGTGTACCCTAGAAAGGAAAGCCCTGGTACCCTGACGCACCTCAAGCCATCCACGGTGGGTAACCAGTTTACTATCTAAACAAATCTTGACAGTAAATTTAAACATACTATTGTTGTGTATCGAAATGAATCCTCTCATGTATAGTTAGGATGAGGGTAATATAATTTGGCATCTTGGAACTGATCCCATTGGTGCCCATTAGTCAAAGTCAACTGTTTAACTTCGTATTAGCGAGGCCAACGTATTAGACCTGGCAACGAGAGTCTGATGATCAAGTCAGGAGAGAGACATCGGAATTCTTTCTTATTTTTTAACTGTTTCGTTTTTTAAAACATGTAATTTGGTTACGTGTCTTAGAACAGTTTTCTCCATCTCAATCACATTTCAAGTAAAATCGATCTTTCAAAGCTTACTTTAATAATAATTTTATATTATTTCGCCTAGAAACGTTAACGCTACCGTTATGAAGCAGTATTACTCTGTTTATTTTTAAGTGATAGATAATGCACTACCACGCTGAGTCATATAAGGAAACACAGATATTTATTCATTAACAATCCATTATTTATGAAACATGGTTACAAAACTTAGTTTTATTGCACAGAATTTACACATATAAAATTATCCTAATTATGTCGAGTAATTTATTTAGCTGTATTATTTCAGCCTATCTTCTAGCAGATGCTGGCTACGACGTTTGGATGGGTAATGCCCGAGGAAACACCTATTCTAGAAAGCATGTCACCATAAAACCAACATCATCATCTTTCTGGAAGTTTAGCTGGCATGAAATAGGGTACTATGACGTACCTGCTATGATCGACTACGTTTTAAAAGAAACCGGCGTTCAGAAAATACAGTACATCGGTTTTTCGCAAGGAACCGCTGTGTTTTGGGTTATGATGTCAACAAGGCCAGAGTACAATGAAAAAGTTTCGGCAATGCAAGCTTTAGCACCTGTAGGATATGTTGGGAATATTAAGAGTCCGCTGATAAAGGCTATAGCGCCTTTTACTAATTCCCTAGAAGTAAGTACTGATTACTACGAATAAAAGTCGGTGTTCTGCAAGAGTTATTTAACATACAGAAAGATTTGAAATAGTGCCTGATACTCTATATATCGATCAATTCAAAGAGTAATCCAATATATTGCAAATGAAAACAAAGAACAAGTCTCACTTAGGTAAATTACGTTTAACACGTTTGTACCCATGATTTCTTCTTTTACCAAACCACGGGTAAATGTATAAAATGCAGTACCTATAGTCCATTATTAAATAACCCTAAAACTGTTACTATTACTTACTACTACAGTTGTAACTATACAATATTCATGACTGGCGAAACACAGACACCCGGCACTCGAGGGCTTGTGATTAATTAAAATTACGGCTCGAATTGCCACTTATAAAAGGTTTATACAAGAATGTTAATACTTGCTGTGTAATGTAAAAGTAAAGTAAAAAAAGGAAATAGAGAAAATTGGAGTAAATAAATAATAGGAGTACAATTTTCACAAAAACATAATGTAATTACAGATATTAATATAACATAATATATAATAACATTAAAATAAATGAGATTGGCGCTACGAAATCAGGACTGAATATTGAAAATATGCTTAATTGGCAAATATTTACTGATTTTTTTTGCAAAAAAATCATTTATACATTCTACGCTCTTTTTAAACTTGCACCTCTTCTCAATGATAAAGGTATACTTAAAGAGTATCATGGAGTGACAGAATCCTATATTAGATATAGCATAATATTCTGAGGAAACTCGACAAGTTAAGATGGTGTTTTTAAATCTCAAAAGTAATGCATTAGAACAATATTCAAATGTAAACCTACGGACAGTTTTGTATCATATTTAAAAATATATAAAACTATGACATTACCATCTTTATAAATCCGTAAAACAGCAGATTTTTTAAAGTCAAACCCGGAACTATCCTAAACGCTAGCTGATACCGTTATTCGCAATAGAAGAACCCTTACAGTGATATTCAATGTGTGTGCGTGAATTTAAAAAACAAATGTATTTTTATTTGTGAATTCTGTTTTTATATTTTATTTGACATTGTAATTTCTGTATTGACATCTTAGTTTTTAAGTTTATAATTAGTGCATTGAAAGTTTTCTTATTCATTAATTTTTTTTGGTAATTAGTGATTGAGACTTATTAATTTAGCATTTTTAATTCTAATGTAAGAAACATTAAAGTAAAATATTATATTGCTTTAATTGCAGTAATTCAATATTATTTTATGTGCATATCTCAAACTGTGCGATTCACGAAATACATTTTGAATTATTGTAAGACTAACTGGCAGAACATAGTTGATCGTTACCACTTCTGTAAACATCTTATGTATACCATGTTTCTCATTTAAAAAATATTGAGTAAATTGCAGAAATTACACAGTATAATTCACCATGTGCACACCACAATGTTAATTTTTTTGCTGTTATTGCTTCCAGATAATTACAAAAATAATAGGACCCGATGAAATATTACCAAACGGTATCATAAATGAACTAGCAGGTCAAAAGTTGTGTATTGAAGAAGCAATTACACAAGTCCTATGCACAAACTTGCTGTTCCTTATTTGTGGATTTAATGAAGAACAGCTGAACACGGTAAGTTGCAGGGATGGCATAAAATCACAGTCACATGTCATAAATAATATAATCACACCTGTGACTGATTAACAAAACCACTGCTACTTAATTATTATTATTACGCTAGCGCCAGACTCGCGAAACGTCTTAATCTGAAAAAAAAGGTCCTAATCTTTGATAAAAAGAATTTTGATTGATTTAATGGCAATTATCTTTGTCTATGACGAAATCTTAACCACATATGAAATTGCTGTGACTATATAAAACCAATCATTTCATGAAACGAATATGATTTAAAAGAAGCAATAATTGCCATATCTAGTACCTAAGTTGTTTAAATTAATGATGAGAAAAGATAGATTTCGTTCACAAAAAGAAAATGTAAAATAAATGTACTCTTATTGATTTAGGCCTCCAAAGAATTCTATAAGCATTGAATGATGGTTCAATATTCTGACAATTTGTTGTTATGGCTAAATAGTCCAATAATAATAACCGTTATGATAAAATACCCCATCGTCTAGTGCATTTATTTGATATCGAGCAAAATAGTTCTTTTTTGTTGAGTACCTATTGCCTATTACACACATATTTCCAAATATAGATCAGGCATGATAAGCTAATTGGATACTCTCCTCTTTTTAAGACGGACATCACACCTCACATCACATCAACAGCCTTTAATAGTTCACTGCTGGACATAGGCCTCTCCTAAAGAAAGGGGGTTTTGGCCCACTATACCACGCTGGCCAGACGTAATTCGTCTGGCCAGCGTAGTATAAGGTTTGTGTCAAGTTTTCATTCACTTTGCAGTGCTGTTGTCCTGCAGAGATTGCTCCCGTAGTCGGCTCTTATGACACCCAAACGCCTAATTGCTCCATATTATGAGAATTATCGGTTAACTTTAATTATTGCAATAAGATTAATATAAAACGAATATAAATAATAATAATATATGTAATATAAATAAATAATAATATATATAATATATGTTGCTGGCTCACCTAGTCAACCAATCCCCGACGCATAAAGGACCACTCTGAGTCTAAATGCGGAAACCGAGGCCCAACCAAAACGAATATAAAGGTTTCCAGAAAGCCAAATGCGCAGTTATCCCCGGGGTGAAAACAACAAGCAGTTCGAGATAACCACCCCACCAGTCATCCGAAGGGGGTATCAGAGGGGATTTCGGTACGGAAAAAAATAATGGGTGCAAAATTTCGTAATTTAAGTTTGTAACATACCATGAACTCAAAACATGTAATTACTTTTTAGAAAATATCACACAGACAGTGAAATCTAATCTTTTTCTTCTCTATAGACGATGTTACCAGTAGTGCTGGGACATACTCCAGCAGGAGCTGCAACTAGACAATTCATACACTTTGGCCAGCTTTACAACTCTAAAAAATTTGTTCAATTCGACTTCGGCATGATCGGAAACAAACTACGCTATGGGACCTTTAAGCCACCACCATACAATCTTTCAGCGATAAGAACACCTGTTTTTTTCCATTATGCAGATAATGATTGGTTATCAACACCAACTGATGTCAAGAAGTTATCTGATGAAATACCATCATCAGTAGGGATATACAGAGTTCCTCACGCCAAATTCAACCATTTAGATTTTGTATTTGCCAATAACGCAACAGAATATATTTACAAACGAGTATTAAATATCATGGCAGAATTTGTTTAAGGAAAAACCGTAATTCTAAATACTTGCTTAATAATTAATTTAGGGGTGGGTTCATAGTTAATGAAATAAAACGTATAAATATCTATCTCAGCAGAATGTATGTTTCAGAAAAAATGACGTGTTACTTGTAACGTTTGGGTATACTTCGTTTCAGTAAAACACTATACAACATGGATCCAATAATACTAAAGACAAAAGAAAAATAATCTAATAATCACTTAAAACTTTATTCATTTATTCACTAATATAGTATGTACATCAAAACAAAATGAATATACGCAATACACTTAAGATCGACTTAAGAATAAAAAATACTGGGCAAAAGGTTATTGAGGTACGTCATGGTACGGCCATACCAGCAATTCCAAAAGTATAATTTATGCATTATTAAAGGTAAATACACAGCATTTAGAAAAAGCTTTTAAATTAGAATGTTTTATTTTGTTATTGGGCCGCAATCCAACGGTTGACGTTGGAAAGTTGTATTTATGCTAATCGGCGAAAGAATTCTGCATTTCGCGATTAAAGATTAGCACTTCGTCGAGTCTTTGTTAGATGGCGCTGTAGTATGTTTCCGTTTCTTTGTATGTGGGAGTCGCCACACATTTGTAAATGATTCTATATAATAAATGTAATAAAAATCTGACCTGTCAATTTTAGTTTCATTTTTTTAAGCACCAATGCCTAACACTATTCTGAGAGTTCTGACTGACCAAAAATAATTTATTAAGATCAACATTTCATCATCAACTATTTGGTTTCCCACAATATAAAGTAAATGTAGCATTCATCCATCCTTTAACCATCACAGCTGGCCTACTTCTGCTCATCCCTTGATTGTAGATGATTATGATGATGATAATTATTAAAAAATATTCAGATTCAGTATAGTTTTTGCGATTACTAATTACATCTAATTTTATTCGTCTATTTTCATGTTGTCACCTCTTGCTTCTGAAGGTCGTCTGCGGAAAAAATATTCTGTTATTCACCATCATCATTTCCCAGTCAAACTGACTGAGCTTCAGGCACTTTAGTAATAATAATATTTTAATGTTCTTTATTACACAGATATGGTTGCAATAAAACACACATACAATAAATTTGACTGAGAGTTTGCACAATGCATAACATAGAAGTGTATTTGTTTTATGGTATAGGGGGCATCCGAGCAGATGGTACGTGTAAGTGACTACTGCCGACCATAAACTACAGCAACGCAAGAGTTACAAATGAGTTACCGCCCTTTGAGTCCAGGGCTTCACGGTGAAGGGCTCTCCTTTCAGTATGAGGTGTTAAGGTTTGTACTATAATATCCACTGGTATAGGTTACCACTTTAAATCTTCGAGAGCATTAAAAAAAAATGTATGGTGTGCGGAATTTCTTGCTGCGTTACCTTAGAGTATCTTAGTTGGTTATTCTTTTTAACCATTTTCAAATTCTGAAGTAGGCAAAATGTAGAACATAAGCATATTGCAAAACAATGGTAGCTTATTTTTATTACCTTAATGTACGGCTTCAAATTTTTACTGTGTGTGGTGCCAAAGCTGCAAATACCTACCAGGACTTGACTCATCAGTGTTTACTTACCAAACTATTGATTTGATAGTGACAAAAATTACTTACATCTCTCGTTCAAACTTGAAATCCTGCAAAAGAATACAATTTACGCAAAAATATATAAGACGTTATGAGTCTTATGAGAAATGGAAATCAAACATAATAAGACATTTGGCCACGTAACTTAACAATTATAATTGGGTCATTCAGTAAATATTGCAAAGAAGAAAAAGGTTTCTTTTTCAAATAACTTAGGCCAAGGTTTAATGTTTTCCAATGCGCCTTCTCTTCCACAACCTATAATAACGTAATGAGCGTATCTACCGGTGTTTAAAATATTATACGTTGACATGTATGTGAATTATAAATAACTCGTTTCTTTACTCTTACATTTCAAATTACTATTTTTCAAAACCATTCCTCGTTATTAGTTTCAATTTCTCCAGTAGTAGTTCATTAAAATCACAGGTACTTTGTACTAGTGACCAGGTATTAACAATAATAACAGCATTAGTAATCATTTATTCATGAGTGAAAACTAAAACATTTACATATAGCTACTTAGTTTTAGTTATAAATAACGATTAGAAATACACTTACGAAACTCGAATCAGAATTTGTCACTGTGGTTCTAGAGCATGAAGGGTCCGATTTACTGTCATTAATTTTATGGTAATCAGCGTCGATATCAATGCCGCCATTTTTTCTATTTGCTAAGCCCATTTCTCTACTTACAATTGCGCCGAATTTATTCTGAACTGAAATGTACAGTGCAATGTTACGTTCCGACAATTAATAAATTGTCATATAAATACAAGACGCTTAATGACCAATAAATTAAGAAACATTCCTATACGTAAAATCGATTTAGGTCAAAACACATCTCAGAAATGTGTACAGAACACAATAGCATCTGTTCAACGTAAAAAAACATTCATGTTTTATAAATTAATAATATGAAGATTAAATATAATTACAAAAATTGAGGTTAACTAAAATAAAAATAAACAACCTATTATTTCAATTATACTACTTCTGAGTTTAAATTAAATCTAATTTTTTAGTTATAACTTCTACTTAGTCTATAATCGTAAGCCCTTTCGGTTTTTCATGCCTAGTTTTATTTGATACCTACATGTTAAAAATGTACCTACACATTTTCTTTTCTAAATTGATTTATAGACTTTCATCATGATAACTTAATGTTATTTATACCTACTTGTTATTTTACTATTTACATTTACAGTCTCAGTCTGCATTTTTGAACTCAAGAAACAAAACTTAATTATTTACCCATCATGTGCTATGTCTTGGTAAATGGTGTTTGTACCTAAGGGACATGCATAACAAAAATATTTTCTTTATTCTTATTAATTGCCGTCAATAACCCTAAATAATAAAAATGTAAATAATGTATGGTGTTAGTCATAGACCATCACAGGCCACCGGCTATCGTGTTGCTCTATGGTGTTAGTATAGAAAAACCAGTCCTGCATTTAAGCAAAAGCCTTTGAAATCATTCTAATGCCTAATGACTATTTAAAACTAAAATTATTTAACTAAATACGCGACTAAATACAAATATTATAAAGACTTTTTCTATTGCAATAATTAAATACGCGGAAATTAAACTTTAATTAAGGTTTGTTACGTTTCGCCAGCAATACCAGGGGATCCTCCTTCTTGCAGTTAGATTCATTAGAATTGGAATTATATACTTCTGGTGCGTTACTTTTGTGGAGTACTTGTAGTAAGGAAATGTGTTTGTAGCTCTAAAAGAATAAGGAAAAATATCAATAAATACATGTTGATGTTCATTTTCTAGTGATCAAAATATGACAGACACTTACTTCATTTTTGCAGTTTTTCATGGTTATAATTACTTCTGAATCAACAGCCTTGATTTGGCTTACATTGAAATTATCTTCACAAGCTTCATAAGGTTTGGGTAAACTTTCTATTGGATAACTGCCTGAAAAAGTTCCGGCAGACCGCGAACAAACATTAGATCTCCACCAGGGGTTTTTATACACATTGTGTAGTTTCTGTTTCAACGACTCATTCTCTTTTGTCAACTTCTCTATCTCTACTTCTTGTGTATATGATTTCTCTTTTAAGACATTTAAACTTGCTTTAAAAGCATCAATTTCATCATTTAAATCTGTACATTCACATTCAACATCCACAGTTTGTCGTTTCAATATTGAGTGTTTACTTGAAAATTTACGACGACGAGTGTTCGTCTTTGCGTTTGCGAATTCCCGATTGTCATTATTATTATCAATCAATCCCTTACTTGATTTAAGATTCAATGTGTTGATGGATTTTAGATGATCTTTATTTTGATTTTCATCATCTATGTTATCTAATTTTAAGTTTATTGGAGAGTTGTTTATTGTCCATGGAAGATAGTTGCGGTTCAAAAAATGTGTAACATTTTTCACGAACATGGCCTGTTGGATCATTTCGGTTTGCCAAACCTTTGCCACAGAACGCACACAGTCTGTGCAATCATTAGCGGTTTGAGCGGCAAATTGATCAGATTTAGATACCTTAATATTAAACAATTTTTCAATGATGATTTTCCAAAACATTTTAATACTCTTCAATGCTTCTAAACACGTTTCACAGGGCCAATGACTAGTTTCAAATTCTTCCTAAAAATAGGTGATTAGAGTAGTAGTAGTAGTAATAGTTCGTAGAGTAGTTAAATAGTAATCTCCTCAAAATTTTCATAAATAATGTTAAAGTTTAAATGAAATGTTACTAAAATAATTAATCGTATATTTGGCGGTTGAACCATTAATCTTGCTCATAATCACATTAATGGGGCATAATATTAGAATCATCAAAAACAATTTTCCTTCGTCTGAAATTATCTCTACACATTTTAAAAAAGGTCTTGCTTTGTCAAAAAATCGTGATTACGATATTCCTGACAATTTTTTTATCGCTTATAATTTAAATAGTAAAGATTGAAAAATGTGAACATTAAAATAAGTGGGTAATTTGTCTTTTCAAGTGTCCTCACCTCAGAATTAGAAGGGGTGAGGGGATGAGGATTGGTCCTCCGGTAACCTCACTTAGATACCTGGTGAAGTGCTATGGAAAAAATAGTTTAACACCGGTTTTCTATGGGGCCATGGTATAACTCCGTTCAAGCCGGCCTATGCCGAAGCATGGCTCTCAAACAATTAACCCCCACAGAATCATTCAAAGATAAACAGAATTTGTAAGTATTTGATTTTAAATAACGATTTGGATACACTTTAGCTAAATTGAATGTTTAGAAATATGTATGAAACGCGTAATTGGTCGTTGTTCTAAATTTATATATTAGAATTAATGATGTCAAATTATATTTGTCTTTCCATTTCCGAACCGATGCCTCTGACTATCCGTTTATTAAATACTTTAATGCTTAAACTACTAGATGAAATCAAATGGCTAATTGGAGTTATTGTATTAGCGTAGTGAAGTACAGTGAAAGTAAACTTACATCTTCAAAATATTTATCAAAGTCTCCCTCATTTCTAAAACATTCTTTCATTTCATGACACGATTTGCAAATACTTTCGAGTACAACTTTTGATTTGCACTGTGGATGACATCGTGGCGTAATCTAAAATAAAACAAAGGTGTATAATTACATCATCATTTAAAAAAGTAGATAAATGCCTATTAGATAATATCGATATTTTTCAGTGTAGTACTTGAAAAAATCGATAGATGTATTTTGAGGTAAACAAAATTTCGATATTTAACAGTAGTGAAAATATATTTTTTAAAGTTTCTAATACTTTGATATTTCAATTATTTTTTTATCGAAGCCATCTCGGATAAACAACAGTTTAACTAATAGGGTATTTTTTTGTACAATATGCTATGAAAGTTTTACTAAGTCTTTATACAAAGGAACCATTACGTTACCAGAAACACCACCAAGGCTTTCTCTGCCAATCAAACTTAGGGTGACGCAGAAATAAATTTTGGTAGGTACAAAGAACTACTAAAATGAGAAGAGAATTTAAGACTTTCCGTAGATTGTTTGATCAAGCAACTTAAATGTACGTATGATACCTATTGATTCATGAAATAATAATTTAATAAGAAATCATACAACCAGAAAATTAGTGTTGGAAAGTATTATTATCTTTGGTGTATCTTAAATGATACTTGAATTTAAGTATTTCTCTCTGTCATTAATTCTATGAACTGGGATCCCGGGAATGATTTATGGCGAATATAATTTTTGTTATGATTATTCTGTTTCGACCTTAGTTAGTGGCTTCTGCAGAAGGTGTTATAATTACCTTGAGGCACAGCCTGTTTTTTGTTAATCAGACTTCTGATAAACATACTTATTTATCTCAGATGCACATCAAATGCACAGGTACATGTTACAGATAAATTACATCCAAACAGTAAAAATAAACGACCTCATAGCACAATTATTTATTCTGGGTAGTAAAAGAACCGACGGCATTTGACTCAGCAATCACAATCACTAATTACCAGACCAACATTCCAATCAATACCTGTATGTCTTGATCAGTTGGCGATATCAGCAAAGGTACGAGTACTCACCTTGCCAATGCTTCCGCACGTCATTTTCTTCACAAGATATATCAAAGTGCTGACAGGTATGACATTAAGTGGCATATCAGTCTTGATCCATTGCCTAAGATAGTCGTCTCTCCGCCTAATATCATGACTCCATGCTCTTAAATCACGACAAGACTCATACGATTTTATCTTACCTTCGTTTCGTGATAGTAATCTAAAGCTATGTGATGGGTCATAACCGATAAAACTCATTGATTTCAGTAACTATAACTACATCTATATCTTGTCGCCATTAGTGTTATAATAAAAATTGTTATATACCTAAATAATAGTACGCACTGACGTATAATTTCGAGATCCAAATATTACTGTCGACAGCTTACGTCATTCAGAGTATGAGTGACATGATAAAAATCCATCATCTATGGCATTTGTACTCCATAATTTTCAACAGTCTTCACTAACCTTAGTATATTCGGAGGTCGTAAAATTTTGTCTTTGTTTCAAACCTGTTTATTTATCCATCAGCTATCGTTATTAATCGCTTATCGAAACTGGGTATGCCTCTAAGCAACTGGGACATTTTGAACCACTGAGAATAGGGTAGGTAGTTGATATTTTTTGAGAAACAAGTTTAGAATGTGAATGTGTTTGAATGTTTAATTTAGGAAATCAAAACAAACGGTATTATCCACGGACGTCTATTATACATGTACGATGAGTAGGTGGCCAATGAGAAAACAGATGAGAGACACCTGCATATACCTGAAAAGCGAATGTTAAGATTGATTTGTGGTGTCTAGGATGGATAAGAGGAGGAATGTAAATAATAGAAGAGCCTGAAAGGAGCACCAGAGGGATTTTCGCACGAAAAAACAGAAAAAGATTTATCCAAACATAAAAAAAAGCTAGAAACGACTAGAGATATAAATAAAACTAAAATGTGGAATGAAAATACTAGATACAAAAAAAAACTTTATTGTGGAAAGTATTATAATACAAACAACTTTAAAATCCAAAAACCTGTTTTATTATAAAGATTTAAAATACCAATTAAGCAAATTGCAAGATAATAAGTATTAAAATTAAACTTCCACATCACACACACGGCCGTCTGGTGCCAACCTAGTGCTATGGTAACCAGACTGATAAACATACTTATATATTCCTTACTTTTTCCTGAGTTGCAGGCGTTCATTGGCGGCGGTAGTAGCTTTCCTTCCGGTGACCCGTATGCTCGTTTGCCCCCTCTTACATAAAAAAAATACATACATATTGCCGAAAGCTATTTAACCTACTCATATATTTAAAAAAAAGTGCACACAGTCACAATTTTAATAGATATGTGTAATAAAGTAAAAAGTATGTAAGGAAAACGTCTAAAAAGCTGCATATGTCTTGATTATATGTTAACCCATCATCATTTAGAATGAAGATATAAAACAAAACTTTAATCACTTGTGCTGAAGAGTAGCCATTATTATGAGCCTTTTTCCAACAACGTTGGGGTCGGCTTTAAGTTGAGGCCTTACGTCGTTTTTTTACGAGAAGCGACTGTCATGTGTGATGGCAGCAACCCAATTTCTATAGAAATACTGTTTTTGGACTTTTTTGGCAACCGGTACCGACAACTTAACGTGCTCTCCGAGGTGTACGGAAGGGTCTCGGTATGTTAATAATGGTCACCCATCCATAGACTGACCTGGCTAGGATTGCCACTTACCATTTAGCCACGATCTCCTCAAAGGCCCAGTATCAGCTAGGTAATAGTCTCATATCGTGTATATGTAGTATTAACCGTTAATTATCCTACCTACACATACATATTAACATACTATTAAAATCACCGTTATTCTACATAAACAGGATAATTTAAACCTTTACATTTGTATGCAACATATACAAATGTAAAGGTTTAATTATTAAAATTACCAGGATATGTTTGGTTAGTACTTAATTATTTTTTATACAAGTATATTAAAAGTGATATGATTTTTTTATTTTTTATAAGAATCTGGAGGTTATACAAAAACTGAACTTTCTGTACTCAGTGCAACCTTAATCTATATTGTATGCAAAGAATGTTAATTTCAAGTCACTGGTAAAATGGACACAAAAAAAAGTATTCAAATTTGACATTCTATTTGACGTCACCATTCCGTCTAGATTTCAGTTGACATTTTCAAAATATTTGATATTTCGTTATACACATTTCGCCGTAAGTCATAAAGCAAAACAAAATAATATAAATCGTATCGTTATGCTCATCATGAATGGCGGAGAAAACTAGCATATTTTTATATACATATTTATGTTATGAAAAATACAATTATACTATTGTAAGTAGAGGAAATAGTTGGCATTACGATGTCGTTCATAACGAAAAGGGAGCGCGTATTCAACGAATATGACCTTTTCGATTTACCAGCAAGAAATGAGGGTAAGTTGAAAGCATACGCGTCATGCACCGATGCCAGAGCATGGTCCCACTTCTGCTCGGATAAGAGTGAACATCTAGTAGAGATAATTAAGAGAAATAATGAGACAGTCCGCCCAAAGTACCTGCCTACAAACGTCATCGTTGACACGCTGATGGTAGCGAAGAATGCCGAGATCGCTCGATTGAAGCAGAAGATTGAACAGTTTGAGCAAATGTTGGCCGCTTATGATCAACTAGAGCTTTCTTGTGCACAGAAATGCGAAATTGCCGATGCAGTAAGTACTAACGTTATTAATTAAAACTCTAAACTTATTCTACTTCAAGACAAAGAATTCTTCTATGAATGTTTAAACCAAATAACTTAGCTTTCTTAACTATTCCTTTAACAAACTTAAAAACTACGGCTCAAAGAAGAAAACTGTTTCATTTTTTTCAGCACGCTGCAATTAAAGCTGCCAACAAAGAACTTAATGATATGGTACGACTATAATTTTTAAAAACTAATTTTAATACTTTTCGTAATAGACTTAAGCTATATGAATTTTCTAGTTTAGCATAAAATCACCATCATCACCATCAGTCTAAGACTAAATAAATGAAAATAAAAAAACTATGATTTTTTGTATAAACATTCCCGCCAGGCTCCCTGCTATTTATAAGTGATAGTATGAGCAGTAATCAATAAACATTCACGTTTTTTTTTTATTTCAACTTGTCCAATGACACAAATTTTGAGAATTGCAATAAACTTATATCCATCTAAAAATCTAATATTTTCTTATTTAATTTCAGTGCCTAGACTTAGACTTGTCCGGTTTCACAGAGGTAAGTATTTCAATTCCTTTTTCTGGCATCGTGTATCCTCAGTTGTTAGGGTCAAGGTCTCGTTCATGTACTGTTTCATGGGCCACGTCCTGTCTTGAGCAGTGTAGATATCATCGCGGAGTGTATTTTTCATGGCGTGTCAAACAAGCAGACGGGTCACCTGATGTTAAGTGACTACCACCGCCCAGTCGCCCTTCGGGTCCTCGCCTCCCCCCAGAAGTAGGGAAGGACGGGTGTGGACTCTGGTAACCTCTGGTCACTTGGTGATAGTAACGAAATAACCGCAGTTTTTTGTAAGGCCATGGGGTAATACTCGGAGCGAGCCTGACCCATATGTGCGGAACCATGACTCTCCCATGATTGCAAAATATATATATATTGTTTATCATCGTGAAACTGGCCTGGTATCCCAGGGCTTCTACCGTTCAGTTTTTTTGATTAATTGTATGTAATTGTAATACGAATGACATATTGTCAAGTTTACAGCATAATAAAATTTACAACATCATAATTATCAATTTTTATTTAAAATATTGATTACCTACAAAACATATTTATTTTTGGTTTTAGCAAAATAAAATATTAACATTTTACCCTATTTATAGGTCTTGGATTCTGAAACGTACGAGGTTAGTGTCCACGTCTTCTTTGTTATATTTTCAGAATATTTATTTTACCTTAATAATAATATCATGTGAAAGAAACAAAGAAATGTCATTTAAAAAGAAAAACAAGTTGAAAAGATTTAGGAAATAATGAAATTGATTGGCTTGAGTTTCTGATTTCAAGATTTGGACCAACATAAATGTTTTCTGTTACATTTTTCATACTGAGGTCAGACAGACTCGGGGTGAGGTTCAGGATGACAATATCGCCATCAACCCACCACCGCACCTTTTCTTCTCTTCTTCACGCTGGTTTATTGATATTCCACCTGCGATAATAGTATAGGCCTCGTGAAATTAGGGGAAATTTTGAGGTCTTTAATACGCCTTAAACGCATTTTTTTCTTTGTCGTATTATAAAGCATTTGTCAGACTAAACATAACATTGCTTTAACATATTTCTATTGTTTAAAAAAAAGATATCACTGTCATAATGTTAAAATATTCACATTGTAATCATAACTAATGTTTTATTTGTTTAGACCGGAAAATCCAGAGGCGATGGTGAAGAGGTAATGTAAATTTGATTAATGTAATACGAATTATAACAATTGTTGACGAATTGAAAGGATTAATGATGTTATGGAGGAATTTTATTATAAACTTATTTATATAACCACAATTTTATCAACAATATATGTATAATTTTATCCTCACTATATGCATACGCCTATGTTGAGGAACAGACGACTAGCTTTGAGATGGACTGATTGTGCTGAACAATTTTCTCATTAAATTTGAATTGTCTGGACATTCCCAAAACCCATTTTTTTTAACCAGAAATAAAACCTCTTTTTATATTTAAACAAGATTGAAGAGTTTACGAGTTGTTGAATGATGAAGTGGATGATTGAAATAGTCATTTTGGACTTGGATTTTAACCCTCCCTTTAACTCCTTAGGGGATAAATTTACCGAAATCCTTTCGTAGTACCCACTACATACGAAACATTTACGCAAAATTTCATATTTCAGCTGTGTGAATGATCAGTCAGTGAATCACCAATTCAGTTTCTAATTTTACATAATATATATAAAAGCGTTAATATTAAATTTATATTTTTTCTTAAGCTATATTTATGATGCTTTAATAAAAAAAATCGTGCCTCTAAAAGTGACAAAGTTTGTATGTGAGGAACTGTATAAATTTTGAGTAACTCCGATCCACGTGGTCATTTATTTATAATTAGAAATAGGTATAAGAAACTTCGAGTTACTCACTATGAAAATGACGAATTTCCCATGTACAATACCTAATTTAAATCCCTATCGGTAAAGTTTTGCAAAACCACGATATACATGTCCTTTTATTGGTAACCAGAAGTATGTGTATGAAATTTCGTGTCTCTAACCTTGAAAATGAGGAATTTCCATGCAACCGTTCATCTCTTACAATGAATTTTTAAAATCCCTTAGTGTACACCTACGTCACCTAAGGAACATTTGTGCAAAAAATTCATTCTTCTTTTATAATATTATGACATCGTTCATAGCCGTAAACTGCTTAAATGGCTGCCTTGACAATGTGCCACAAGCGTCTTAGCACCAGCAGATTAAATACATATTTGTATATTTTTTTTTAGTAATCACATTATTACTTTTGCAGATTATGCCACAAATGTATGATCACGAGGTACTCATTCCTTTTTTTTTTAGTTTCTTCTAATCTAAGTATCAATGGAAACCTAAGATAATTGTAAATTCTGTAGTGCTTATGGATAGATTGAGTCAAAAGAGATTTCTTCAAGAATTAAAAAATTAAAAGGGGAAGTATCTTAACCCAACAGTTCGTGGTTAATCAATAACAAAGGTGCAGTGCTGTTTTGATGTTTTACTGAATTAGGGCTGCATAAAAATGAAAGCATTTTGTTTGTAAGCGTTGGTAAACGATTGCTATCAGTCGAATGGTGTGTTCGTTTTCAAATACCTAATTATCTTGATTCCAAATATACGGCTTTATTTCTTAATTTGGAGTACATACAGACGTGTATGTTGTATACTCAAACAAATATTTTGCAATAATCCTTTGTTTCAATGTATTGACAAATATATGTTATAAACAGGGACAGGCAACCCCCATGACTGAAGTTAAAGCTTCCCAGATTAGTATAAATTGTACCTGTGAAGCAGAAACGCGTAAGATTTTATAAACATAAACTAAAAGCACACAGTCACATTATTAGCGTTTCATTTATCACCTTAGAATTCATAGAAATTAGAGCAGTTCTGTTAGCCATATTTCATTCTGCCGTTATCATCATTATAATTTCAGCCAGAAGACACCCACTACTAGGCTTAGTTAGTTCTCCCTTAGACTTCCATTAAGACTGGTTGGAAGAAGTGTGCATCGATCGTAGATTTGAAAGCTTTATTAGTTCATTTGTCCTTCTTGTTGTTTGAGATCGTTGTTGTTGTTTCAGATCGGAAAGCATAGTGTAGGACACTATGCTTTAAGATCTGACTAGTTCAGACTGTATTGCAATTTTATTGCAATGCAGAGTGTGAAAAATTATATTGCAATTATATTGCATTATATGACAAAATACTTTTTTACAGGTCATTGATTTTTAATTATATAACAATCTTTTTGATTTAACTAATTAATAAATTTAATACCACCTTTTTTTTCAGTTGCCATTGACCCAAGAATAGATGAAATGCAAGAAACTATTATTGGTAAAGATGCAAAATTAAATGCAATGAAAAACACGATTGCAGTGAGCCCTATTTTAATCTATTTTGAAGTCACTTTACTAAGCTCTAGAGATTCTTATTCGTTTTTTTTTTCTAGGTTATGGAAATCGATTTATGCGAACCTTACTGCATTTATGCCCACATATATACAGCATTGGAAAAAATATTCGGAATACTTTGCCAGAACGACAAATATAGACAATATTTGAATTTGCTGGTTTGTAATTCACCATCATCTACACATTTGAAAATGTTAAGTTGGTTTGTGAACGCCTTAAAAACTCAAGTTTTGCAGCGATTGAGCTCAAATTTTGACACGATATACAACACGCTCCAAAGATGATTTGCTATTTTTGCAACCACAATGTGCCACAGCGAAGAGTGGCAGGGTACAGCTAGTTAGACATATAAAAAATAGATCGCTGGATGATTTTATTCCACATTCTATAAATTAACGGTCCGTGTCAGATCCGATCCGGATTAAGAATACGTAGGGTCTCCACCCTATTCGTCCCGTGGGTGTCGTAAGAAGCCACTAAATAACTAGACTAGATAACAGCACTGCAAAGAGAAGGGAAACTTGAAACGAACCTTTTTTTTTTTTTTTACGTGTGGTAATCCCCTCGGACCGTCACCCCACCGGGGTTTGCAGTGGGGTGGTGTGTCGGACTCGAACCGACTAAAACCACACGGTGTGCCACTCTGCGCCTGTAGTAAGAGGGATCCGGAAACAGCTGTTATTAAGACATCCGGACCCCTCCTAGCGCCGGCCCGCTCCTGTTGCGGGCCCCGTCTCAAAATTTTCCTCTCTTTAGGCGACGTCCGGCACACGCGGACGCCGCCCCCTCGCGACTGGCCAAACTAATGCGGGTGGAAGGGAAACCCACCCCGTCCACCCGCGGCCACACTCAGGGCATGAGGCGGTGATAGGCGCGCCTCCGCCGCCCGGTTCGCCGGCGGCGGATCTGGTCCGAGTGGAGGTCGTCCTCCCGGGCCTTCTCCGCCGCCTCCTTCTGCGAGATTACTTCCTCGCAGAAGGTAGCGACCGCGGTAAAACAACTGTCGCTACCGGCCATGGAGCGTACTACGGCCGGTAGCGAGAGATCCACTCCGATGACTGCAGTGAGGGCCCGGCGCTGCGTCGCCCATGCGGGGCAGACCGCCAGCGTGTGCTGGGCCGAGTCCTCACTGCAGTCGCAGTGGTGGCAGGCGGGGACTCAGTTCCCTCCTAGCGACCGAGTGCAGGTACTTTCCGAAGCAACCGTGCCCGGAAAGCACCTGCGTCAGCCGGAAGGTAAGGGTCCCGTGCTGCCGCCCTGCCCACTCGGCGATGACCGGCTGGAGAGCCTCCACGGCGGCGAAGCCAGCGCGTGGAGTCTCCAGCCGGAACGACCAACGAGCCATCGTGGCTCGGCGAGCGGCTTCGCGCCACTCGCGCACGTCTTCGGGCGGAGGGCGAAATCCGCTCTCCGCCCGGGAGTCAGCCACTCGCCGATAAACCTCGGCGAGCACTTCCGCCTCCAAATCCCACGGGGGAGTACCGGCCAACGCGCACGCCACCTCCGTCGAAACGGTGCGATAACCGCGTATGGCTCTGACCGTCATTACCCTCTGAGGGCGCCAGAGGCGTGCAGAGAGAACCCTCTCAAACAATTTACCCGCCTCGTCCAGCAGCACGATGGGTCTGTAGGCCGCGACCGAATCGGCAGGCCGTCCCGGCTTCCTTAATAGGACCAGCTTCCCGCTCTTCCAGCACTCAGGGAAACGTCCCGACGCCAAGCTAGCGTCGAACACTTCCCCGAGGTGGTCTGCCATGTGGTTGAGGGCTAGGGCCAGCACTCGGGCCGGTACCCCGTCTGGCCCAGGGGCGGTGTCCTTGGAACGGATCCGTAGAACAGCCGCCCCTACCTCCGAATCCCGGACGGGCGGAACATCATCCTCCTCGTGCTCCCCGTCGTCTCCGGCCAAGGAGGCCATCGCCGGGGGAGTGTGTTCCGCTCGTTGCGGGAAAAGGCCCTCAACCACTTCTCGCAGGAAGCTGGGCTGGAGAGTCTCCGTAAGGAGGGGGCCCGACGCGCGGAGCTTATGTCGCGCCGCGCGGTAAGGGCGACCCCAGGGATGACGATTAAGGCCCTCCAGCATCTCCTTTTCTTCTTTGGCGCGGCTAATGGCCAGCTTCAGAGTTTTCCGCGCCTGTCGGTACTCCTCATGACGCCGGTCCTCCTCACCGTCTCCACGGTGACGCCGCCGACTGCGCGTGTAGGACCTCCGTTCACGTGTACAGGCCGCACGGAGGTCCGCCAGCTCCTGGGACCACCAGTAGACCTCCTTCCTTGGAGGCCTACGACCTCGAATGCGGGGCATGGCCGCATCGCAGACATGCGTAATCGCATCGCGAAAGCGACCAGCCCCCACGTCGACCTCCTCGGTCGGAGCCTAAGGAGACAGCCACGAGTGAATTATGGCTGCCTCCTCTAGTAGGTCCCGGTTCAGTCTGGCAACAGCCCACCGCGGAAAGCGGGATAAACGCCGTGCCACGTGACCCCTACTGGAGTCCTGGGTCCAGGAGAGCTCAAATCGGATATAAAGATGATCCGAGAGCGTCTCAACCTCTTCCAGGACACGCCAGTTCCTTACTCGTGCGGCGAGGGCAGGGGTAGCGAACGAAAGGTCCACTATCGACCCCCCCTGCTGTCGCACGCACGTGTTGATGGAGCCTCTGTTGAGAGAACAGAGGCCCACCGAGGCCGACCACTCGTCTACGGCCTCGCCCCTTGCGTCCGTCCCGGGGGATCCCCACGCAATGGATTTTGCGTTAAAGTCCCCCAGGACAAAGACGTGCCCAGACGCTAGTCGCCGCATCGAGGTCTCCAGGTTGTTGAGGAAAACCTCGAAGTCGGTCAAACTCCGGTTGGGGGAGAAATAAAACAAACCCTAAACCAACCCGTCTGGCCAGCGTGGTACAGTAGGCCGAAACCTTTTTTCTAAGGAGAGGCCTATGTCCAGCAGTGGACTATAAAAGGCTATTGATGATGGTGATATTTAAATTAAATGTACAGTTTTAATGCTGAAAGATGGAAATTAAATGAGGATTGTATTGTAGTAGGAATTTAAACATAAAACGCGGCCCTTCTTATAAATGTGTCTAAACAAATATCTTTTTGTAATAGTGGTACTGTTTTAGTATATACCTAGTTGTAAAATTTATTATTTTAGACTGCAGGGAAAAATACTCAATGCATTGATATAAGAGGAAAAATCCTATTCAAACTTAAAGTTCTTGAAAAATTCTGCGGTGCCTTAATAGCCCCATGTAACCAACAGTTCAATGATGACACTACTAATAATGATTGTGAATGTTATCGTAGTGAAGTAATAACGCGTATTGAAACCAATTATGCAATAACATCAGCAGAACTGTCTCACACCATTGACAACAAAAGAGCACATCTTGTAGCTGACATTATTCAGAATGAAGAGATGAAAGAAATTCTTAGCAAAGACAGTTTTTCAGTTAAGCAGGACACAGATATATTAGAGGACGTTTACTTTTTACACGAATTTAACATTGACTCAGAAAACTTAAATCGGTTAAAGAAATTGCAAGAAAATTACGACGATTTAATGACTTGTTATGAGTCTTTAAAACATGAAAATGAATGCTTGGGAATACGCTGTCATAAATACGCTGAATTGGAAAAAGAATTTGAAAATTTGAAAATAAAAGTTAACGAATATAATTCATTATGGAATGAAAAAGAGCACTATCGTAAACGGTCTGCTGATCTTGATACATTAAAAGAACAATATCTTATTCTCACTGATGAGACTACTAACTTAGAAACACAATTAAAAGCTGAATCAGAAATTAATAACATTAAATGTAAAACAATCGAAGACTTGCGGAATGAAAACGTTCGATTAGAAAAAAAATTAAATGACGCTTTGCTTATATTTGAAAAAGAAAAAAGTACATTGTTATGCAAGTTAAAAGAAGCCGATTGCCGGGTTTTGTGTCAAGGACAGCAAATTAAAAGTTTGTCTATACAAATAGATAGACTTCTTGAGCAGGATCAAAAAACAGTAAGTCACATTAAAATTTAAAAACAGCTGTGTAGAGATTACAAAATAGTAAAATAGTATCAACACAAAACAAAGTATTTAAAGTGAAATTTGACCATTGACACACGTAAAAAACACATGCGAAAAAACCGCTACCCAAGAAATAATAGTTTTTTTTCTTATAAAATAGTTATAAAATGGTAGAAGTTTGTTTCCGGTAAATATTACCAGAACCAGGACTTATGTAACATAGCTCTATACTGAACTTTATTTAAATCTAAACAATCTTATCCAAGTGAGATAATTTGAGGTCGGCGTCACCGTATGTCCGTCTTATGATCGGAGAGGCCTCCAGGACAGGGACATCAACTGACTGCTTATGACAATCATATATCCTATGATCTGATGATGTCGCACTCCCGAGATTACATTCTCTTCCTGTAGGGTTTAATTAGTGACCTGCTATTTTCATTCATTTTCGTTTTGTCTTGTACGGCACAATATTATCATTGGTCCTGATGTCAATGCATCGTGTGGCAAGTTATGTTTACCCGATAGGTTCAACGATATACGATTAAAGATTTCATTGCAGTAATCGAAGACGTCTCGATATCCGGATGGCGTGTTTTCCCGGGTGCATCTTGTAGTGATCACCGTGTAATCGTGTACCATTTCACACCAAGGGTAACAAGGTGCCATTTGGGGCGGTATACTATGAGGATCATGTGAGAAACAAAACGTTTTGTGCCCGTGATGCTTCCCTGTATAGTTATACGGAGACAAACGGGAGACAAAAAATAAGCATACACCTTATTGGGTTTATGCCAATTTTTTTGTCTCCCGCTTGCTAAGTAGGGAAGTGGATTTATTGTGTTCCGAACTCCGCCAATTTACTGCTGATTAATTTCTTTGCGGGTTCGTAAACACAACTTTTCCTGTGACTTGTCAAAACACAGTGTGTTCGTGGGTCACTGCTGTTGATCCTGGTGTACAGGAGTTACAGTAATAGAAATATGAGAGGCATCAGTCTATTAAAAATAATATAACCCTGCATACCTTACGTTTTAGCTTAGTTCTCAAGAGGCAGAAAGTACTTCTTTAGCATTAATTGATGAGGTTGAATCCAATAGAGATCAAATAAAGAATTTAAAAGACGCGTTATTCTGTAACGAAGAAGAGAAGCAAGGTCTACAACAGCGATATCAAGATCAATTAAAACTAATTACTGAACTCAGGAGCGAACTAGATGATTGGAAATGTAAGATTCTTAATATTTGGATACAGATTTTAAGTGAAATGACATTTTGAATAGGCCACAAAATCATGAAAGATCAATTCTAAACCATTAAGGTTAAGACATTAAACTCGAGTAAAGAATCCCATTGATAAATATGAAAATAATCTAAGCATGTTTTATTTCTATTCACTCGTAAATATTTTCGTTTTCTGAAAAAGTTAAAACACATTTTCTATGTAAAATGCTTTCATATCTTGTGCACCGAATCCGAGGTATGTAGGATATTCGCGAAACCGTGAATTTTAGGATAATTACTTACCTATCGAAACGATTTTTGCTTTGTCTTCCATTTTATGTATTTGTTTACTATATATTCACATATAATTAAAAACAAAGCCTTGAATACAATACATTCCACATAATCAAGAACAGAACAACGTTCTTTCCACAACGGTACAAAGCTACTATACCCAAAAATTAACTAATCATCATACTTATCGCATAATGAGGCATGGCTTTATTGTATAATTTTTTTAAATACCATAGCCAATAATAGTTTCGGCACTAAGTTTTTAGATTCCTAAGATCTTTATTAGATAGATTAGAGACATATAATTATTGTTGATATACTCGTAGGGCAGAACTCTTATAAAAAGTTGTACACTTAATAATTAATTTATAAACATTTTTTTGAAATTTAACTCTAGTATATCATTTATAGGTGCTTACGAAAAAACATTACAGCGTAATGACTATTTAGAGAAGTATACTGAAAGTTTATTAAATGAAACTAGAGTTCTAACAGAAGACGTGAAAAAAAAATCTGAGGCAGTAGAAAATTTGTTGAAAATAGTCGGTAACAAGTCACAAGAAATCAACAAGCTTATACATGATTCAGAAAAGAGTAAGAAAGAAAACAAAGATTTAGCTAAGCAGATTAACGAGTTACAAAAGAGTTTTAATAGTAATGTAGTATCACTAGAAACGGAAAAAGTAGAAGCATTAAAATACCTACAATTAGCGAGAGAGGAAAGTGAAGAACTGTTGCAGAAGGTTAAAGATTATAACGAAGTTATGCGGGTAAATGATGATGTAATGAAATCTTTAGACATTCATGAGGAAATAAGAAAAGAACTCGATGACAACAAAAGTCAAGATAATGACTTAGCTAGTTCCGCAAAGAATAATTCCATGCTAAAAGAAATCCAACGATTACGCGAACTACACAAATTTGTTGTCAGTAATGTTAATAGCTTAGAAGATGCTAATAAACAATACAAAACATCTTTACAAATCACCCAAAAAGAAAGTGGACAGCTGAAAATCAAGTTAAGTGAGTATGAAAATTTAAGCTTACTAATGAAAAACTTACAAAGTTCCTATGATAAACTTTTAGAAGAGAAAAACAGGCTTGAAACTGAATTAATGGAAAAAGGAATTGAACTTGAAAACGCATTACTATCTATACAAATCACTAAACGAGAAAGTTACGATCTGATAGATAAATTACAACAATCACAAAATATAAAAGATGAATTACTTCGACTAAGTGATGCATACAAAAAATTAGCCATTGAAAAACATGCTGCACAAACAGATCTACTTGAAACTAAAACCCAAATGGAAAATTTATTACAGTCGTTAACCAACATGAAACTCCATAACGAATGTTTACTACAACAGTGTGGACGACTCGATGAAGTAGAGAGAGAATTACAAGATACAAAGAAGGCGTACAATTCATTACTATCAGAAAAGAATACTTTACTTGATGGCTTCAATGACAAAAAAGAGAGAGAGTTCAATAATTTGTATGACATGTTAGAAAAAAAAATAGAAGAAAACCGAGAACTCACCGAACAAATTTCGTCTTTGCAAGAAAATCAAGCTGTTACCAAGAATAGTATGCAGTCTTTGCAGGATGATAATTTGAGGGCTCAAGCTACACTAAACGTAATAAAAAAAGAAAGTGCTGATCTTCTTGAACAACTCAGACATTATAAAACTTTAGAAACAGAATTTGAAAAATTAAAAAGAGCCCATGATCAAATGAAGATCGAAAAAGAAAAATTACAAACGGAACTCAATGTACAACTAGCCGACCTGAAAAGAATAGAGGAACAAAATAGTGAATTACATTGCCACAGCCAAAATTTAATTATACATAGCGAACAATTAGAAAAAGCATTAATAAATTCGAGGACTGAGGTTATCTTTTGTTCGCTATGAAATACATAATTAAGTTTTTTAAATAATTATGACCTCAAAAATACCTTTTAATTCCAGCTCATTAAGAATACTGCTTCTCCGGATAATTCTTACAAACATGTATTGATGGAAATTGATGACATGAAACGAGAAAAAATGGTTAATCAAAAGAAGATTCGTGACTTACGGGACAAGCTAAAAGACTCGGTAATTTTATGATTCTGATAGAACTTTCTAAATCATATGGCAAAATTATTTGGCACAATTCTCATCTCTAAGGTTTTCAGGAAACTACTATTTCTAATCTTAGTGAAGAGCTTATGATTCGGAATGACAAAATAGCAATTTTAGAGAATCACATAAACAAACTGGAAGATGAAGTAAGGAAACTTCACATTAATTTGTTTGAAGTTGTTAATACCGGTGAAGAAATGAAAGAATATAGTTTCCAAAAAATAGATTCTATCAAAAATATTGAAGCTCACCGTAAGTATTCATAGTAGTTTTTCTTATATATATATATATATATATATATTTCAGATTGGTATCAGGTCACAAGTTACCTAATTTAGCATCTTTCTCAAGTTAAACCCTGATTTGATATTAAACGGTGATGTAGGGTGTAAAAAGACAACTCCACTTGGAATGTACGGTGTTGCGGTGGGCTTTGCAAATTTACATGTAACGGACACAAAGAACACCCAGACTCTAGAACAACAATTTGTGGATCACACAAAGTGTTTTCCTATGCAGGCTTGAACCCAAAACACTCAGCACACAGTAGGAAGCAGAGAGGTGACGGCTTAAACGGCTACGCCGTTCGTGCAATCGTATATGTAGACGTTATCATGTAGGAAGAAATCATCATCATCATCAGCCTATCGCAGTCCACTGCTGGACATAGTCCTCTCCCATTGCACACCACTTAGATCGATTATTGGCTTCTCGCATCCAGCTCCTGCCAGCCATCTTGCGCAAATCGTCCCTCCACCTGGCCTGTGGGCGTCCTACACTACGTTTGCCGAGACGCGGTCTCCACTCAAGAACTCGTTTTCCCCAACGGTTGTTGGTTCTGCGGCTAATATGGCCAGCCCATGCAGCTTGCTGATCCAGGAGGCTATGTCAGTGACCTTGGTTCTCTCATTCCGGATCACCTCATTCCTGTTGCGATCCCTTAGAGAAACGCCGAGCATAGCCCTTTCCATAGCACGTTCAGCGACTTTGAACTTGTGGACCAGCCGACTCATTGAAGACTTTCGTCTTAAGACACTGGGATCGATGATGAGAAGACTCGACGTAGCTTCCCAAACGCTGCCCAACCCAACTTTTCTTCTGTTCACCTTGTCCTCGAAGTTATTTCTACCTAATTGCAATGTCTGCCCGAGGTACACATAATTTTGAACAACTTCGAGAACGGCACCGTGTACCGCAATCGGTTCCGGTAGTACATGTTCGTTGAACATGACCTTGGTTTTATCCAAGTTCATCCGTAGGCCGATGCGTACAGAAGAGTCAGCTAGGTCATTCAGCATCTACTGTAGAAAGAAATATCTCGAGTTAATATAATTTGGAATGTGTCTCTACCTTTAAAGCTGTTACCAATTCGCTCTATAGTTGCATCAGGTAGACGTTACTTTAATATGATTACGTAGTTCTCGTTACATGACAGATCATACAAACATTTGGTCCGACCCGGGAATCGAACCCAAATGTCGCTTGAATATTTTACTGCTGTTCAGCTGTGACAGCTGTCATTCAGGGTGAATTTTAAAGTGAACTGTTTGATACTACACTGTGGATGCATGTTGGCCTCAAGGTCAGGCCTCAAGATTTTAAAACTTTCTTGATACCTGACTGAATTGATACATTTTTGCATTAAAATAAAATGTATTTTTAATGAGTTGCCCGATTCAACAGACGACATTGGAACTAAATCTAAACAATTTTTACTCAGCGAGTAAACTCTTACAAAGTTTCTTCGAAAAATATCCACAGGATAAAAGACCTCGTCATCGGAACACTTTTAGAAATCAGTCAAAACATCTCAATATTCTATAACTATTAATAAGAATCGTTAATATTCTTCTGCAGATTAAATAGAATATGGGGTTATCGACAAAGAAAGTATCATTTAAAAAAATAATATTTAAATATATTCATTAATATGAAAATTGGGAGATATATGTTTAATTTCAATGTTTTTCTGTCTGAACTTTGTCATCCCTATTTAACATTACAGACTCAAAAGCAACACATAATATGAAAATGGAGTTGGCAAAACTACAACAACACAACGCAGTGTTAGAAGAACAGCTGTCAGTGTCTAAAAAGTCATCTGAAGAATCGTCCCGAGATAATAATAGATTTGTATCTGAATTAGTTCACTTATGTAATGAACGAGAAATAATTGTGACCGAAATTAAAGGCATAGAAGTAACAAGCCTCGGTGATAGTGCTTTATCACCAACAAATTGTGATATTGAAGATATCTTACTATCACTAGATAGAATCCGAAAATGTTATGAATCCAAAAATTCTAAAAGCTCCTTGCTTGAACAAACAATATTAAAAGTACAAACATCTTCTCAACTTCTTTTGAGTAAAGCGGATGAAGCTAAAAGACTGGTTGAAAAAGAAAAACAAAAAATTATTAGTGAGAAAGAAGATGCTATAAGAGACAGACAAAATATGGAAAAGCAAATGGTAGAGTTGAAAGAAAAATTGGAAAAACAAATGGCTGATGATAAATCTGTTATCCAAGATTTAGAAGCAATGATACTAAATCAAAAGTTAATCATTGATAAAATAAATAAATCAACTCAAGACTACATTTCTAAATTAAAAGAGGAATTACAAAGCCTCCAAAACTTATACAGTGATTCTATAACTAAAATTAACGAATTGCAAGAAGAGTTGCAAAATATCACTGAAGACAGAAATTGTCAGAAAAAAATACTTGAAAATCTAAAAGTGAATTTTGAAACAAAATCTGAAGAGATTTGTGAACTAAAAAAAGAGTTAGAAAAGTATAAAAATAAACATTTTGATAGCACCGGTACCCAAACAAAAACCATAGCTAGTTATCGTAGCAGAGAAACAGAAATTGAGAAAGAACTGTTAGAAAAAGGTAAAATACACATAGGTTATGATGATGCTAAACCTAAGCCAATAAATCGAACCCTAGAAGATCTAGACAAAGAAGATAAACTAAAACAGAGCGAGAAAGCAAAGCAACACAACGCTGATTCAGAAATTATAAAGCAAGAAAATACACGACAAAACGAGGTACAAGTTCTTACCGCAAATGTTATATCAAATTTTGATTACGTAAAAACCAGTTACAAAGAATATAAAATTAAATGTCTTAGTACAGGAAAAATTCAACAATGCTCCATTTCTTGCCCTAGTGATAAAGAAATTAATGAAGATCAGCCAAATAGCCAATCTACAGGAAAAGAAGAAGAAAGTGAATATTCTTTCTCTGATATCAAAGCTGGAAATAGTAATTTAAACGATACATATAATAAAGGGTCCAATTATAAACATACTTCCAGACCAAAGACTACATCTGGAAATATTCTTGTTGATAAACACAATCCGAAGAAAGCAAGCGCACTTGTTGGTTTTGTTATAACTGACAATAGTAATGGTAAACATAAAGACAGTGAAAATGTACCCATAAATTCTGCATCACTTAATAAAGATTTATTGATTATTTACAAAGATAGTCATACTAGTTCAATCAACAGGGAACAAGAAAAAGACACATGGTCAGATATGACAATTGAAACGACAAAGGGTAATTCAAAGAAGGACAAAAACGACGATGTTAAATATATTGTTCAAGATTCTTACTCAGGCCCTGACGATCGAAAAGATGATAAAGATAAGACTACCTTAAAAATTAAAATGCCAAGAGTCGAAAATGAAAGCAATAATTCCTTGATGACTACCTCGGACTACGATAAAAAATCATTAGGTTCATATACTTTGGATATTTATTCTTCACCTAAACAGACACTAGAATGTGTGTCCGTGTCAGACACCAGAATGACTAATAATGGAAGTGATCGGAATACAAAAAACAGCACTCCTTCTTTACAAGATTTGTATAATAACATATCTCACTCCCATGGTGAAAATACCTTAAAATACGACATCTATAAAAAAGTAGTAAAATCAAATGCTTCTAGTAAAAGCATTAAAAATAACGTAAAACGAACACACACAATATCAAATGAAAAAGATAAAATACCAATAGACGGAGAACAAGGATCAAACCATAAGCTATTACGGGTAGATGCAGATGTTTTGCTGCTAAATACAGAAGAAACACGCACTAGGCTTCCTAATGATAAAGTTATACAAAAGATTCGTGACTTTGGTTTAGAATATATTTTAGACATTGTACAAGGTGAATTTGATCCTATAAAAACAAAAAACTTTACTGAGAATATAGCCAAATTGAAAGAAGAGAAATCTAGAAGTCTTTCAAAGTTAAATGACTCAAAAGTATCTTCAACTGAAAATAAAACAATTTCAATCTTAAGTAGAAATAGTAACAACAGCATTTCAAGAGCTTTCAGTGAAAAAAGTGTTATGGTCCAATTGGACACAAAGGTTGACTATGATAACACAATAGACTCTCTAACAAAGGCATTAGAAAACGTTGAAAAAGATTATAAGAAGAAAATTGAAGCTATAAAAATGCAGTATGATAATAACATAAAGAGTATTATTAATGATCACAATCAAGGGGTAAAAAATATACAAAATCTACATGAAGAAACTCTGCAGGATATGTTAAAAATACATGAAAACGAAGTAGAAAATTTGAGGTCAATGAGTATAGAAGCCATGCGAAAGGCGGAAAAGCTAGAGAAAGAGAACCGAGCCTTGAAAACTAAGATTAGTGACCGTGGAATGATATGTTTAGAGGAGGTATTTTATTTGATATAATATATTTTTATTAACACTAACAGTGTTATCATAGGGTTAAAGCGTAGTTGCACAAAATCAATTGTATAGTTGTATAGAGTTGAAAGAGAGAGATTGTATAGTACAGATTCATCATTAGAATATTTATTTATCTCCACGGAAACAGTTTTTTTGCCTTCGGCTGCCATCGAAACCGATGGTTCGTAACCAGTTGAAGAGGAGGAAAACATGTTTCTTGTAAGAAACCAGTTTCGAACCAGGATTGTTTTTAAAAAAAAATCAACGATTACGTACAAGGAATTTATTTTTAATAGTTTCGTTTGTTATAATTTTTTTTTTTGTATCTAAATAGGTAATCACTTTCACGGGATAAACATGAAAGACAGATATTATTAGACATTTGACACAAATAAAACATTATAACTGGTCAGTATTTCATGAATCATGAGTACCCCTAGTTTACCTAATAAGGAGCAATATTTCCTCCCTTGCATGTATACTTCTGTATCTTGGTAACTAGTAGGTTTCGTAAAAAGAACAAATAATCCTGGTTCGAAACTGGTTTCATTCAAAGATCATTTCTTACACCACAATAAATTACACGGTTACAGTTCAAATTTTCGAATTTTGAAACGTAACGTCGTTGTTGATAACCTAAACAAGCGAAAGAAGCTTAGCCCGCATAGCTTTTATATTCCAAATATGCAGTTTATGACGTGCGTTAAGCATGTTTTACTAAACTTGCTTTTTTGTTTGTAACATCTTTTCTGTTGCTTTCCCACACGATATGGGAATGATTTCGTAAAAAAAGGATTATATATTATTAATTGATCATCATTGATCTCGCATATTGCTATAATTGGCCGTCAAGTGCTAGAAAATATATCAGATATTACACATTTTACGGAACCATAGTAAGGTCCGCTAGTTTTTTTTAATGTACTCGTTTATATATATTATTTACAAATTTGACTTAATTTCTTATAAAGGTGCTTCAATTCCTTTTCGTGATATTCTGATACCGTAAATTTATTTTGATCTGCTCTTAATTCATTTAATATTTATCACAAAGGAACCCATAAAAATGTCTACACATGATCTGAGAAAACGGAAGAAGTGTCGCGGTGACACGAAATTGTTGACGAAGACGACGGTCGAAGCTTTTAATGTGAAGCCTAAGCCACGCATGCACGGGCCTTGCACATGTACCCTAGATGTGAACATTTCTGACACCATAAGAAATATATTCGAACAAGTTGATGTTGAGCAAAGAAAGATGGCTGAACATACGTATTTGAAATATATCGCTAATAAAATGCTAAATGGAAATATTGAGGTACAAGTATCTTTCCTTATCCTATCCCTTCTGTATTTAGTTCAAACTTTACTTTTAACACTTACGATACGATTTTTTGTTTTATATTTTACATGTACACTTATCTATGTAAATCTTTAAAAGTTTTTATTTTGTCAAAAATATAAATACGATCTAGAATATTTCTAATATAATAGTAGTAATAGTTTCCCATTTATTTTTACACTTGAAAACTCTGAAGTGGCAATAAGTCATAACCATAACATGTGCCGACATAAAGGGGAGGTCATTCATGTCACTTGGCGCTGATTGAATTATTTAAAAACGTTCATTCATGTTCACGTTGATACATTCTAAATTACTCAAATTTACTACTAAATTGGTATACAGGTATTAGATGGTCATGAGTTATCGTTCCTTCACCTTAAAGTATGCAGGATGTGGAAAACAAAGTTGTCCAAGGAAGAAGCTCTACGTAGAAGAATAGATTCCTTAGAAACTGAACTAGTGAATAAACAGCGGAATACACAACAACATAGTAAGATGTTTCTTGCCTGATATTTACATGTGTATACACTTCCCTTATTTATTACTGACGGGTAAATTTCATTGTATCTTTGCGGGTGATTTTGTTGCAAAATTGTAATGATTATAGTACGAATTTATATAACGATTGTTATAAATACTGACTAGTTAACATTTTTTTTATTCCTTTAGGCATAGCCATTGCGATGTCGACATAGAAGACGTGATGCGGCAAATGCCTTGAAAAGCTTTAAGTTTTGAAACTAGTTAGCAATATTATGTATTGTTTTGTAATTTTCAATGTATCTGAAAAGAGAGAGACTTCTTTAAAAGAATTTAGATTTATTCTATTTCATGCAATTGTAACATTAAATTGCTCGTGTTACAAAGTTGCGGACCTGGACCGTAAAGTAGCCGAGGAGAGACGACGTCTGCAAGAGGTCTGTGAAGCTGTCTGTCGGGCTTCACCTAGAAACTCCCGCCCCTCCAGTCCTGCTACAGAGATAAGCTCCATGCCACCGCCATCATCAACTGCTGAAGAACAAAAATTCTTATCTACGTTAGTATTTTATAAAAAAAGTATATTTGATCCAATTTGATAATGCCATTGAGATGGTAATGTAGGTCATCAATGGTGATATCAACAACATTGCCATACCTGAGAAATTGAATATTTCATTGTTTTTTACAAATTTAAAATGAACCGTTTACCTAACTATTACGAAGACATCGACGACATTTGTATCAATGAAAAGTCATCGGGAGGCCATTGGTCTTACTTGGTCATAGTTAGTAGAATAGGAAAAGTGCAATACTATTCCGACTACATTCCATCGACAGTCTATTGATACAATATTAAAACAGCAGAATTGAGGTCCCGAACTCAATGTCAATGCAACTACGGGATCTGTGTCTTAAGGAAACTTTCAAAATGTTTAATTACCGGACATATCAAGATATACTTTCAGTTCAATGTTTTTATCCACAAAACAAGACTCGCGTTGGAATATCTTTCTTTCTTTCTTCTTTCTTCTTTCTTCTGTGATGCACTTTTATGACCATTCTAGTACTAATTCTAGCCATACATTCATTTAAATAGTTTCATTCGCGTTAATAACTTATAGCGACTTCCACATAAACGAAAACCATACTTCAATAAATCTAGGAAGCCACACTGAACTACGGAATAACTATTAGTCCTGTATACTATTCCCTGCGCCCATGAGAATATGTGCATTATGCAACTTCCCAACCTGGCATCCCTCCTACCAGGTAAAGTGATTAAATTTAGCATGGTAGAAGGTGGGATCCTTGCTACGAGCACTTAAGGGTTAAGTGTTAAGTGGGTTAAGTGCTCGTAGGATTCTTCCAACACCAAGGGATCCTCCATGTATGTTGGCGGGACATAACACTCGCTACTCCACAAGCCTATAGTAAAGACTCGAGGAGAGCAAAATATTTTTTCTTTTTTTATTTTCTTAAAAAGACAACTCCCGCATTAGGAATATATCCTGTGTCGCGGGGGACTTTACAAACATACACGAAACGGACACAAAAAACACCCAGACTCAGAACAACAATTTGCGGATAACACAAAGTGTCGTCCGATGTGGGGATCGAACCCACAACACTAAGCGCAGTAGTAAGCGGCGCGTGGCGACCGCTTAAACCACGCCATCCGCGTAGTCAAATCTAATAGATAGTTCCAAAATAACGCGTTATACTAACAAAACAAATACTCATTTGTTTTATTAATTTAAATTTAGATGATATATTAATAACAATACTCATAGTTCCTACCAAGGTGGTAGGTAGTTCTTTGTTTGATAATGTTAATATTGTTATTTAATTAGACTTTAATACTTGCAACCGTATTTACAGATAAGTCTATTCGTAAATGTACCTAAAATCGTTATCTTTACCTATTTAGTAAATCTTTTACATAAAAATACGTATTGATTTGTGTAGCTCTTAACCTATCACGTTGAACAATAAACTTGTATATCTTTCTTTTGGTTCCATCTAGTTGTGCTTGCAATGGAGAGCTGGGAGTAAGAGGTTCAGCCGGTGACCTCACTCTCTTTAGCGGCGGCATACGGACGCGGTGCACCACCACCCGCAATGACAAAGAGAAGGTTCGATTTTTTTGACAGTAAAACTACATTTCTTTGTTTTGTACCGTAACAATCTACATACATATATACTGATATTGGCGCTGTATTACAGCCAGCCGTATTACAACAAATGTAACTCATTATCATCAGTTTTACAATATTGATGAATAAACTTCTACACCCTTAAAAATAATAACACATTACACTGTTCTCAGCCTGTTTTTTTTTTAAATATTGTAACCTTTGCTGTAGGGAGCTTTGGCAAAGTTGGACGTCGAAGATCGCCGTCGTGAGAAAAAGTTGTATAACGACGAACCTCCGACAAGACTACGTCGTTCACACGACCGCCAGGTGCGGTCCAAGAAGTAATATCTATATAAGAACAGAGTATGACATTCTGTTTGCATATCCCGCAACTGGACAGAATGTCAACATCTGTTAAAACCTGGACATGACGAATAACCGGATCTGGATTATTTTTAAATTAATACATTACTTGGAAAGGATCCGTTGCGATGTATTAAAAAGACACTAGAACGATTTATATAATTACTAATGACACGACAATATTGTAGATGTATGTGTAAAATTATTATATTGACGTACACGGCGTCGGTGTGTGCTTGGTTTGTACCAAAATTTATGAAAGATTTTGTAACTTATTTTATTGGTTTTGTATTTAATTTATATATTTATTTCCACAAGAGGTGAGGTTTAAATTTGAAGTAATAAAATATAAAAATACATTGTGTTTTTTTCGATATATTCTGTTGTGTAAGGATCAGTTTAAGCATAGCTAAAATGAATAATAGTATAATATTTAACGACCTCGCTGTTTAAAATACGCATAAACAACAGTATCGTAATTATACGAGTGATAACAGGTTCTTTCGAATTTGGTAGCATCAGTGCCCCGAGCACGAACAACTTGCGAAAAAGCATTCGTATCGTCTTTGACAAAAAATTGTATGACATTTGTGCAGCGCCCCTATCGTGCGTAAAAGTAACTAATTTTGTCAGCACTACGAACGTTTCGAATTTACTTTCGTATCGTTAACGTATCGTCAACCATTCGATACGTTACACTTTATAAAGAAAATTGGCAGTTAGGTTGTTGATAAGTTTAGTGGTCATAACAGTGAATAACAACGCATCTACCAAATGCATAGGAGACTGGCACGTAGACCCACGCGGTTTGACGGTTTTCTTTGTATGTGGAGATTTACTCTCGTGACAACCCATTTGTAAAGAAGTTATTTCTAGTATCAAGTTTTAATATTTATTAAGGGTTATATTAAGAACTGCAGTGATTCGGATGTCTTATTAACAGATATTCTTGGATCTCTCCTAATTCAGGTGCAGAGTGGCACACCATGTGCCTTTAGTCGGTTCGATTCTAACAGTGACGCCATTAGGGTGACGGCCCGAGGGGCTTTCCTCGAGTGAAAAGAAATTGAAACTTCTGCCCATATTTGTAGACATAGTTATTAAGTGAGATTGTTATCGCACAAATTTTAATTATTAGCAAGAATTAACCATTTTTATATCTTTATCCCACTAAATGAATTGACTTTGTACTATATGTCACATTATTTGTTGCTTACTTTTTACCTAAAAACGAGAGACGGTCTGGTAGGAGTAGTCCGGTTTGTAGTACGGTTGATCGAGCTACTGCAACTTTAAAAAAAAACTAATAAATCATTGTTTTACTGATTTACATCTCGATGAATACTTTCAATATTTGACTTTGTAAACACTCATTTATTACTTTCCGTTTTGTACTATTACCATTGCTGCATTTGTTCTTATTACACGCGATGTTGACAAACTAGCCAAGCAATGTAATGAGAAATATTAGATATCGTTGTGCATTGCGTACGTTTAAAATACGGCTGCAGGCATCGGTCGCCAGCTAGTGACGTAACCGTACCATTAATTTGAATGAAAATACAGTTTATATCGATGTTAGTATAAAGGGAACGTAAAAGAACTAATCGATATATGCAGGTAAAAACTAAAAATGTTTAGCATGCTGATAAATGTAAATAAAATGTATTTTTAATAAGCATAAATATTATATTAGTTTTTATCACATAATTATAATTAATTTCTAGATTCCCGAAAGATCTTGATGTTAAAGAATTTTTTTAAATAAATTTCTTCACTTTACGGGTTAATGAACTCATTTCGTATAGTTGCTGATTATCAACTGCTAGAGATACTTGCTTATACAATTAACTATATCTTCAAACATAGTGTTAGGAATAAGGGTATTATACATTACACATTTGACGACTATCTAAATATAAAAAAGGAAACTACTCTGTTTATAACTTACCTACTACCTACCTACTTATTTCTAGATTAATATAAACCTAATTGTTACGAGAAGGAACTATTTGTTCAGTAGCTTTGTTTCTGTGAAATTTCGTGTTTTTTTTCATAGTTTTTTTTATTCATTAGATTTTTTAATTTTTCACTGTTTGATAAGTGTACGCTACTGGATTAATAGAATATTTTAACTGTTAATGGATAGCTTGATTTTAAATAATAGATACCAGTCATTTACAAGTACCATTACTGTTAAAATATTTAAAAAAAGCAAATATCTATGGTTTCATCGTTACTTGTAATCCATTTTATTTTAATTATTGTATAAAAAAAAATATCGACTCCTTCGATTTTCGAAAGAGATTGTAGTGGTGCCACATAATACATAGGAGTAAAATGCACTGTAATTCCTGAAGGTTAAGGTTCACAATAGTTTGTGTCCCATACATTTCACCGTTGTTTTGCAAGTGTTGCGAGTCTTATTTATATTTGTTTATACTTTGTGTATGTGTTAAGATGTGGCGACATCAGTTTTTGTACTCTAACTATTGCTACTCTTTTGTTCGTTCAGTTCGAGTCAATAGTTTAAACAAATCTAGGCTTTTTATATAATAATTTATAGGAAACAAGTAAATTGAAAGCAACTAATTCAAATTTTAGGAGTAACACGTAAAAAGAGCGGCTTTGTACAAGAATAGCTCTAGAGAAATTTTCCCACAAGTTAATTGTAATTGTGCATCTCTAATGATTTAAAAAAAATCTATAAAAATGACAAGATTTTTATTAAATTATACTGACTTTATTACATAGGAAACTTAACAAGGAAAAACTTACTCATCAAAGTATCAATCTTTAATGACAGTGTCTATGAAATTAATAAGTTTGCATGCACTACAAAGTTGCTTTTTTTATGTGTTCCTTTTAAAATATAAATTGGTTGCTTTCTATTTACTTTTTTTCCTTTATATTATAAAAAATTGTAGCAATAGTTCGGTGTTTTTTTACAATGCAACTGCAACATTAATGCAACTGAAGAATTGCATTAGTTGGATCAACCGGACTACTGGTACTAGACTCGAGAGACACTGACGACCATAGTAATATTATAGGCAGGTCTTTATTCAAAGTTATTTCCGCAACGTTAAGCTATTAGTGGAAATATAGTACAGTTCATAAAATTCTGTAGGTTAGTATATTCACGTTGAACTTGTAGAAAACTTAAGTACACCACCTGTCACTACAGTAACAAATCAGTACAAAAACGCATTATAATAAGGTTGAATTTTCAAATAGTAAGGATTCCCTAAACAGAAACCCCATTTAGGAGATATCACTTTTACAACACACACAGCCAGAAACTGAAAATAGCAAGGTAGGTACTAAATTAAAACACATTTACATTAAATTTATTATAATATTTTATAGATAGACTTTAGTTTTCCTTAAACTAAAAATAGGCGTGCAGTGTCTACCTCGTTTTTCATTAACCTTCGCACACTGGATTTCTATAAGTACATGACGGTGGTTCGTATAAAATATTATCGGTAACGTAGCCATTAGCCTTTGATTCCTTATCAAACTTTTCATATTCCCTTTTATCATGTAAATCGATAAGAATTTTCCATACTATAAGTGTTATAATACCAATTAGTAATACTGCTCCTAAAGCAGATCCAACGGCAACTGTAAAATAATTCCAATTTTAAGCTAATTATATATGCAACAGAGATTACACTTTTTTTTTGGTTTAGTGGTTGACAGTTTGAAGTACACCCAGTAAACTATCGATGTAACCCACTCCTAACATTCGTCAGGAGTTCTTCTGTATTCATTACAGAATTCATTCTTTTTTTTCTCGTTCTTTACTCTCGTTCTCGTTCATTACTCGTTCTTCTGTTCACATCCATATGTATGTGAATACATGGTACTAATATACACTTTTTGTATTACAAATAATGCCATTCAAAGGTGATCAAGCCTTTATCTGGATTACTTAGAAATATTTATTGTTACACTTCCTGCATTACAACTTGCACGAGGCGGACTTAATGCCACATGGCAGTATCTATCAGTCAACCTTAATATGGTTCAGTAAGGGGCATGGTAGGTGCACATGTATTATATTAAAAGAAGAAACTATGAAAGTATAACATTAATTTGAAAATACTCTTTAAAATACATAGACGAATACATAAATAACTATTAAAATATATTATACATACGGAATGAAATAAATACAATAATATATGAGGGGACGAAATCATAAGGATATTTCTGCTAGCTGTTTTCTGTAGAATTCTCGGACTTTAGCTTTGAACGCGTTCCAATATCCCTTTTTTTTCTTTTTTCCTGTGCGAAAATCTCCTCGGATGTCACCCACCCGCGGGTGATTATGTTGGACTCGAACTGACCAAAAACCGCACGCCGTATCGGGTCGGGTACCATTTTTACCATATTATTTAATGACAACTATACAAGACTAACTTGGTTGGTACAATAAGTAATTTTTGGCTAATTAACATTAATAAAGTAGGTACTCACTGAATATATTAGCTTTAGGCGGCAACTCATGTTCAGTTTGTATTCCCAGTACCATATTTCCATTCTCGTATTTATACTTGAAAATAATGCAACTGTCGTTTTCAAGTCGCTTCTTGCAATATTGGGCTATGTTCCAATTGGGCCCATTTATTTGGGTTTTATTCAAAAACTTTACTATTGTATCGGTCGTGTTATATTGTTCATCGCAAACATTCTTATCGTTAATAACATTGCAGAGTACGTAGTCCTCAAGATCTTTGCAAAGTTTCTCACCACAATCGTCACATGTCTCACAGTAAATACCTGTATAAGTACCATTTTTATCTGGCAGTTTGTCACACTCGCATTTTCCGCAGTTGCATTTACCATGTCTAGAACATTCCTGTAAGTAATCACATTACTTTATTTGCAGAATTTTGTCACCATTAACAAATTCGAATAATTATTATTCGTGAATAACTTTTAACTGCGTTTATTTTTAAGAATACCGTTCTTGAACTTCCAACCCGGTATCTCTTGCAAATACAAATTACTTAGTCAGATTATGAGTCCCATATAAAACAATATTACACAGATATTTTAGCAAATAAACTTTTGCAAGTGGAATTTAGGATGTTATTCCGCCTTCTTACATGAAAGTTTCTACCTATTTGAACATAAAAAATTCTGTGGCCTTACTGTTTTAGAGTATGGTGTAATACACTTAGTTTTGTCAAGAGTACAGCTACAGTCAGCATCTTTCCATAAAGAATAGCACTCGCATCTTCCTCGGTTGCATTTTCCATTATTTGAACACAACTTTTTGTTTCTTCTAGGGCAAGCGGTGTCGTCAAATTCACAGTAATCGCCAGAGAAACCCTTATTGCAAGTTTCACATTTGCCACACCTGTAATCAAAGTTTGATACAAAAATATGGAATGACAATAAATTTACTGTACTTACCAGATATTGGATCTATTATGTCAAAATTCAACCTTTTGTAACAAAATCTTAAAAGAAACTTAAATAATAATGTATCCCTATGCATCATGTTAAATGTTTAATGTTTGTTTTTTAATGTTTAGTACTTCTGTCTTACTTTGTCATAATACAAATCATATCGAGTATATTTTTTGTATTATGTCAAAGCAAGATGGATATGAGCATAACACCTTAATTTGTAAACTATAACTAAAGGTGTACAAGAATTTGTCTTTTAATGAAAAAAATAAGTCATAGAAAAGTTGTGACTGCTTTTTAATTTCTTTTAAAATTTAATATTCTAAATTAGATAAAGTAGGAGTGTAGAAAGTAAGTAAGTAGTTTTATAATACGTGTGTGAAAAATGTTGTGAATGATTTGTTTACCTGCATGTGCCTCTTCCACTACATAACATTTTATCATCAGCATTAAGTTTGCATTTTTCCATATCTTTTGTATCCGTTGATGATCCATTGCAGCGACAATCGACACCGTAGCTTTGTAATAACAAAAAAATTATGTTAAATTACAACATGCAGAAAATACGTAAATCGTTAATAGTATCTTTTTTATTTCTAGAAGGGGATTTAATATATACTAAATAAGGTTTATTTTTACATTCCATGCTGCCAGAGCTATAAGCAAAATTGACAGTAATCTAAATAATTAATATTTAATTTTAATTTTCAACTAATATGAAGATATAAGTGATTACCTTCCCTCGTTACATTTACAAATGCCACACTGAATAAAACCGGCGTTGTGGCAAACAGGGCTTGTAGTATTTGTACTAATTTCTTTCTCACAGTCACACTGGCAATCTATTTCTAATTCAATTACTAAACTGTCCTTTATTCCAATTGGGTGAATAACAATTTCATGCTTTTTCTCATTGTCAGGTGGACAGTATTTGACTATGAGATTTCCTTCTATTGACACAGTTCGTTGTTCCGGAGTACTTTCACAATTCCTTTTAGGTTTCGTATAGCAATTTTGATCAAACGTTAATTCAACAAATTTTGGTAGCTTATCAAAATAATGTAATTCTGCTTTGGTTGCATATTCCTAAAAAGGTCAATCATATAAATTACATAGATACATTATATTTTGAAAATATTAGAGTAATTAATAATAGTCATTACCAAATAAGCGTCTTTGATTATTTTTACTGCATCATTCTCAAAATCTAAGACTGCGTGTTTCGCTCCAAAAATGTCTTTGGCTAAGTAATTATACTCAGTAGAAACGCTTTCTTTGGTAGCAAAGACGATTATAAACTGTCCTTCACGTGCAACTTTATCTATTTGACTTATTGACGGGTAATCGTAAGTAAGAGCAAATGTTTCATTATACAAATCGTTGTCCAGATGACATTTCATATCATTGGGCTTAATTGCGCCCACAATTTTACCATCTCCAGCACTGTGATATGTTGAATCAGTACACAACACAATAATTCGTCTAGAATCATTTCTCCACTGCAATTCGTCTTTACAAATCATAGCTTGCATCAAACCATCTAATCCAGATTCTGGATCGTCATAATTTGCTCCAAATTTAATGTTCTTAATTGTATTTTCAAAAGCTGATACATTTTTGGTAAGGGATAGATGATTTTTAAAGGCATGTGACAAGGTTGTAGTATTGGTCCTAAAATTTTAAAAAATATCATATAAATGAGATATTATTGGATTCACATTTCTAGATAGAAGAGTATTTCTAATTTGAGGCTGTTGCCCTAGGATGGATATCCGATGAAAAAACTGTGACGGTATCGTCTGCATCGTAAAGATGTATGAAAAGATCACTTGTTGACCTACTCTGACGAAAGTTATATTATTCTTCACTTGATAAGTAATAATAATAATAACTTGATACATTTTGCACACGATAGAATCAAAATTTAAATATTATAATTATATTCTACAAATAGAATATTTAGGGAAAAAACACATTTGTTCTACACATAAAATAGGTAGTACAAACAATTCTGGGTTATTTTATCAATAGATTAGTCTAGGAAACTGATTCCCGTTTGTTATATTCCTCAAAATAGTTTTAATAAAATGAGGCAAATTAAAAAGTTTGTGTCCATAGATAGGCAAACTACATTTGGTTATGTTATTATTATTTTTGGATTTGATTGTCCCGAATAAAATGGTGTAAACTGACTTCGACTGGCAATACGAGGGTGCGTTTTTAAGTTCGCGGAATGAGAGGGTTGGAGGGGGGTGATTAGGCTCATTAGAATCGTCACGTGTTCAGTGACTCATAATTAGTATAAATACCAGGTTTCATTGTTATTAGACAATTAGTCTTTGAGTTTCGTCAACCAAGCAACATAATCGGGAGTGAAAAGTGAAACATGGAAAAAATCGAATATCGTGCCGTTATAAAGTTATGAATGAGATGTCATTGGTTTATGGCGACTCTTGTCCAGGAAAAACCATAGTGTACAAATGGCACAGTTTATTTAAACAAGGAAGGGAATCCCTTGAAGACGACCCGAGGCCGGGCAGGAGCATCGAGGTGATCACGATCGCTCAAGTTTATTCAGTTGGTCTTCGGTGAGATCCAGGTAGCTGACATCGCCATAGTCAAGGATGGGAAGTAGAAGAGATTGTGCGAGCGCAATTTTGGTATTGGTAGGAAGGAAGTTGCGTAGCCTTCGCAGAGATCCCGCCGCTGCAAATGAGGACCCCAGGATAGGTACCTATCCAAATAGATCCCCAAGTTTTTAACTTTTTCACTATATGGGACAACCGAACCGTTGCAGGATATAGGTGGTATCTGCTGAAGGTTTACTTTACAGTGCAGCCTGGGACTTCCTACTATAATGACTTGTGTTTTCGTAGGGTTTACACTGAGTCCGTACTCCGTACTCCAGTTACATATTCGAACTAAGTCCCTGTTAATGGTATCCACTGTTTCTGTTAAATTATCTGGAGTACCTTGAGAGTAAATTTGGAGATCATCTGCATAAAGATGGTAGGAAGAAAGTAATTGATTTGTGATTGAGTTAATAAAAACTGCAAAAAGTAACGGTGATAACACGCCGCCCTGAGGTACGCCCGCAGATGTTGTGCGCCAAGAGGAGTACACATTTTCGATACAAGCACGCTGCTGGCGACCATACAGGTAACTACGAAACCAGTCAATTGCCGATGGAGATATGTTAAGAGAGCACAATATACCCAACAACACATCAAAATCCACAGTGTTAAAGGCGTTGCTGAAGTCTAGTAAAGCAAAGACCGTAAGCCTGCCTTCCTCCATGCCCGACCTAATGTCATCCGTAATATGGGCTAGGGCTGTGGTAGTGCTATGGCCTGGAAGGAAACCTGACTGGAAAAGATTAAGAAGACAATTTCTTGAGAGATATGAGCTTAACTGAGTGTAAATAAGGCGCTCGAGAACTTTGGAGAAAAAAGGAAGGATAGATATAGGACGGTAATCTGAGAAGGAGGATGGATTACTTTTCTTGGGGAGAGGAATGATTTGAGCCATTTTCCATGCAGATGGAAAAGCGTTTACAGATATCGAGTAATTAAGAATATGGCACATTACAGCGGTTCTGAATGAATCATGATACGGTAGTACCTACCTACTTACGCTTGTGTTAAAACTTCGGTGCATGCTTTATTATTAATAATATTTGTTATTATCTGTGTGTATGAATAATACTAGAATTTTTTTTTACCGTCTGTGTGTCATTAGATAGTTTTCGAAATTTTCACAAAGGGTTCCTGCTGCTACTATATATAACAACATATCAAACTAAAAACTGGTTTTATTTTCTCGGTATTAACAACAAACAGCTAGACTCATATATAATATTTTAGATGTTTGAGGGTTGTGATTTTAAAACATTCGTAGTCAGCTGTTCAGCTTTTTAATAATTAATTAATTGGTGACCAAAGAATTTTTGTTTTTAGTTGTTGCGAGTTGTAGGTAGGTACCTAATTTATAGAGACGTTAATAAGCTGAGATAAAAAGTTACTTACTCGTCAGCTGTTTCTTGCATTTTAGTTGAGTAGGTAGGTTTTTGAGTTTCTAAGGATTGGAGTTTTGTAACGCGTAAGGAGAAAGCACATTTTTTTTATTCTATAGAAGGATTTTTAAACTATTGCATAGCTTTTATCGCGGGCTCTGAGCGCGGCGCGGCGCGACAATAGGTTTACCGCGGCAGTCTCCGAGAGTGCCACATGTATTTTTTTTTCAGACGTCTTCAATGGTTGCAACTGATCCGGCGAGATGATTTGGAAAACAAACCTAACTTTAGTTCCTACCAAGTTTGTGAAAAACATTTTAATTTGGAGGATGTATTACATTCATCAAATGGAAAACTTTTCAAAAGAATGCCCTACCATTGTTGATGCTGCCAAGCTTAGCTAGTACTGATCCAGGGATCTCTCTAAAAGAAGATAAACAAACCCAAACTGCTCCGTTGGTAGGAATTGAAAATAGTACACAGACTGAAAATGCAACAAATGAAATCTTTGCTCAAACCTCTACGAGACTCTCTAGCAACACTCCAAGAAAAAGAAAACTCCTCCAATGCAGAAAGAAAATAAAATAATTAAATCTACCAATCAAAAAACAACACGCATTTTTATTGAACACTTCCTATTCAATATACAAAGTATTTCATTTATTTATATAAAAAGGATATTTACAATCACAAATCTAAATAGAAACAGAAAGTAGGCAAATATAATTAAAATGCTGGAGACGGGCAGCCCTAACGCATGTTTACGAACCGCGCGGCTGTAGGCATTTATTTCTATCATGCGGCCGAGTTACACTACTGTATTATAATTGTACCGTGGTATGGGTGTTCTTTGTGTCCGTTTCATGTATGTTTGTAAAGTCCCCTGCGACACAGGATTTATTCCTAGTACGGGAGTTGTCTCGAAAAAAAATAAAATATAAGAAAAAAATGATTAGTTACAAAGAACAATAATACGTACCATTTAACTGTCATAATAATAACCATATCATAACATGTAGGTATTTATCATAATATATTATTATATTACCTTTTAGTTGTCCTTGGTATTTAAAAACCGGGAATTAGTTTTCTAGAACCACCGGTAGAACTCAAACTCAAACTCAAACTCAAACTTTCTTTATTTCATAAAATTTTCAAAATTGTTTGAAATCGTCTTCCATATAGACTCTAAAGTCATAGATCAACACACACAAAAGCAACAATATCTGTTTTGTCAAATAGTAACCAAATAAATTTAACAAAATCAAACCCATACAAAATCTATGATATGCCTGTGCCGATCTACAACCGCCCGTTTCCAAGGGGTTGAGCCTTATGAGAAGAAAGGGCAAACAAACTCATGGCCACTCTTTTGCAATTCACAAGTAGATACAATGGCACTATTAAATATATCACAACATTGTTTTGATGTGTGCTAGTATGTCCGTTATTAAGGACTTAAAGGTGAAAAAACAACGAAGAGAAAACAAGATTAAGAAGAACAAACGAATACAAGAGAAAATGAAGTGAAACATAAAAAATAGAAAAAATAATAAAAAACATACTAGCCACACCACATTTTTACTTAAGAAAGAAATAGCCTGCGCTAATTATTCCCAAGCATTCTTGTCCTCCATGTAATCCACAATCGAGTAGTAGGCCCTCTGGCACAAGCCACGTTTTATTGCGGATTTAAATTTGTTAATACTCAACTCCTGAATATTATTTGGGATTTTATTATAAAATCGGACACATTGACCTCGAAAAGACTTGTTTATCTTTTGGAGCCTAGAGGCGGGTACAACAAATTTATTTTTATTTCTGGTATTTATGGCATGTACATCACTTTTTTTCAAAAAGCTATCTTTATTTTTGTGAACATATATTACATTTTCATAAATATATTGATTTGCCACTGTCATTATATTTATTTCTTTAAATTTCTGCCTCAATGAACAACGATTGCCTAAATTATAAAGTGCTCGAATAGCTCTCTTTTGCAGCACAAAAATAGTTTGAATGTCGGCAGCATTCCCCCACAGCAGAATACCGTACGACATTATGCTATGAAAGTAACTGAAGTAAACAAGTCGTGCTGTATCGACATCAGTCAACTCTCGGATTTTCCTTACTGCGTATGCTGCTGAGCTGAGTCTACTCGACAATTTATCAATATGTGGGCCCCACTGTACGTACGAACGTACGATATTTCATTTTCCCTCCTTATTCTACTTGTACTACAGATCCATGAGTAGAACAAATGTGACTTTTTTTCCTTAATTGTTCTATTAATAGACCAAATAGTAGAACATACAGCAACGATTCTGTTACTGTTGTAATATATTAATTAGAATCAACATTTTCTAAAGAAATTACATTACTTTTTTTAGTATGCTTGTCCATGTCAAAAGGAAACAGAAGAGTACTTGTATTTACTGATGTACATTTATGAGTTTAAGTAATGACAAAACACTTACGGTCTGATCCTATCGACGTACGGGAACCCCGGTTTTTCGACGAAACTTCCAATACCTAATTTAACATTATTGGTATAATCCGACAACTGAGCGTATATGGCCTTGGCTTGAGTCTCTAAGGCACTTTTCTGATATTTCATTGTATATGAAATATCTATTAAATAGTAGACGTCAAGGGGATAATCTTCTGCTGGTTTAAAGTATATTGGGAACTTGTTTAAAAATCTTGGTGACGTTTTAATCTTTATACGCTGGGGTCTAAGTTGTATTGAATTATTGAAATCATCGTTACGAATATTGATTGGTAAGTTTGGGTGCGATTTTATGTAACTATTATTGCACCAATTCTTCGTTGTATTTAATACATTCAGAGGCATACATCTTCGCTCCGCAAATTTATCCTAAAATGAAAAACAACAACAACAACAAATTAATTATTACAAATTTTTAGGTTTCGAACCACTCAAATCTTCTTTAAGTGGTGTCCTGTCACTGTCACTTTAAAGTAATAGATTAACAACTAGTAGTAGTTTACTTAAAGATATTTTCGTGAAGTTCAACAAATCCAAAATTATCAGGACATTTCCTGCCTCCATCATAAAAGGGACCAAGTATAATTTAAGTGGTGGTAGCGAAATGGCTGTACATGCCGCTTCGAACCCAACACGAAAATTGACATGAAACCACTCAAATCACAAGCATTCAGTTTAGCGAGACTGATTTAAAAGAATACTGTTTGCACTTTCTCTTAGTACCCGTCTAAACCCATTTCAAAACCAAAATACTAAAAGTAATTGATTTCAATTAGAGCAAAGTTTAACGTCATAAGTTGTTTTCTCAAAAAAAAAAAACGGAACAGCATGTTTTGACGATTAATACAAAGAAATTTAGTACATGAAAATGTTAAACTTTAGGTATAACTTACATTGGGACACCAAACGCAGATATCATGGGCAGAACTAATACATGCACCGCAGGTCTTAAAGTTACACTCATCACCCGTTTCACAGCTTACATAATACAAACGAAAAACTAATACTAAAAATATTTTTATGAGCATTTTAAAATATATATTTGACAAAATTAGATTTAAACGTACATAATGTGCTTCATATAAGGATGTGACTCCTACTTCACTAACTCAGTCAAATGACAAATTTATATTGTACAAACAGGAAAAAATTGCCCTGTTTATGGTATCACCCGGCGTAAGCAAGATGAGCACAAAATATTAATTACGAAGTGTTAAATAATTAAGTAAGTCGGTTCATTAGTAAAAAGAAGAGATCTTTAATCAAGAAACACGTAACATTTTTATATAAACACTAACTTAGAACATATATACATATATATATTGGTCGCCACTTGTACTAACTTAGTTAAAGGTAATTATTGCATATTTATATCTGGTGTACAATAAAGCGATATATTATTATTATTATTACTATATGATGTTACATAGAAGTAAGGTGAGGCGGGGCAAGTGCGTCACACATTTATATATCAATATAACTCATGGGGTCAAGAAGACCAAAAATGTGAATTTTATTCATTTGGGTATATGAATTACATGATATTTTATTAAAGTCATTTAATTTAAATAAATTGATTTTCTTTTAAAACTTGGCATATAGACGCACTTTTCTATCAAAAGGGCATGCATGAGAAAACCTCATTACAGACGTCGTCTTAATATGATGTATTAAATAAATATAGGAAAATATGCACACAAAACAAGAACCACTCAATCCTATTGCTCAACAGTATTTAGGATATTAGTTATAAACTGGAGTAAGTGCACCATACTTTTTGCATCAGTGGTAATCATTTTGAATATAATGATTTTTTTTGTTTTTAAATGAGACTAATCCCTGACACATGCCCACCACTGTAATCCTACCTATCCTGTACCCAGAACGGCAGTGACCCACGAACACACCGAGTTATGACACTCGGGGAGCCCCAGGAAAAAACAGGGGGAACCACGCGTCTGAGCCGCGACCTTTATGACCTTAGTCATAAAAGACAACACCCCTCCCGCACTTGCTTCGGCCACTTGGCCTCTACCCGGTGGCGAGCGCAGCGCCGTTAGATTTCTTCATTCCTACGTGCTTAATTAATGTTTGCCCCTGTGCTTCAATAATGGTTACGGCCAACGATACCTTAACGTGAAATTGTATTCTGTTGAATTTAAAGTTAAAAAGAAAATAATTTGAATATTAGCCACCGGCATGCCTTACTGCCGCGTCCCACAATTATTATTTTGCTTCGGAGTTATTTAAAAAAAGTGATATCTCCTAAGATAGGTATTCAATGAAATTAAATGATGTAAGGGGCAATTTTGTTCAAAATGAAATACTTGTGAAGATTAACGTATTTATTTCGATAAGGATTAATACCATGTTTACAAAAGCAGTTAGCTTACAATAGTAATACTTTTCCGTTTTTGTAACATTTTTCATAGATTCTCGGCTTCCGGCTTCCGGCTTATAACCTATGTTAGAATTATTTAATAATATGTATGTAAGAATTTATGTTATGAATGTATGTTAAAATCGGTTTAGTAGTTTCAGAGCCTATTAATTACAAACAAAAAACAAATCTTTTCTCTTTATAATATTAAATATACATTTTGGTTTTAACGTTTGAAATCGTTGCGGCAGGAGGATTCACTCCTTGCATTAGGGGCCTCATTAGGTCTAAAACTAGTCGATCTGGTATATGGTTTCCCTCTTTAGAATAAAACCTTTAATATAGAGTCCATAATGTGTCCAAAATATAGATAAATTAGGCGCTGTAGTGTAAAATCATAATAAGTAATATTTCGCACTCCAATTAATTTGACTCACAGGTAAATTTTGTGTTTATCCTGCGTTGTGTATATACGTGTGTCCGATATTTTTCTTGGATAATTTATCCTGTTTGATAGTAATAGCAGAACTGTAGAACATAATATGATTTAGTTATAACATGTACCCGACCCAAACGGTACCATGTTCATCTATAATTTAATTTTGGTGCTCATATTTGGTTTTCATGATGTTCTTACACTTGATTCTTGTTCATCCAATCTGAAGTGTCACGAGTGCATCAGGGATCCCAGTTTGTGCGTTTGGTGTCCTACGGTAAAACGCTTTTTTGTCTACGTTACTACATTTTTACTTACACAAAATTTAAACTTCATCTCAACGTACTGACACGAGTTTAAAGATAATTTGTCAATTTAAATACTTACTCTTTACGAAGAAGAATAATTCTTAGAGTTTGTCTGTTTTCAGAATAATTTTAATGGAACGAGATGTATGTCTCAAAATTTACTTAAAAATCCTTGGTGTCCAGAAATGGACAGACTAGAAGACCCAGAAAACTTGGTGGAGCCATTAAAAAACCTTGAATTTAGTAACGATCCAAATCATACTGTACAAATCAAACCCCAAATTTACAAAATGAATTTAAGACCAGGGAAGATGACAAATTTTACATTTTCCATTAAAAACGCTAAAGACTTTCCGGTGGATTTGTATTTTTTATTGGACGCGTCCACTACTATGAGTAGTATAAAAGAAGTAACTGCAAATCAGAGTGAAAAAATTTATATGACAATGAAAAACTTGACTAAAAACGTCAATTTGGGTTATGGGACATTTGTGGATAAATGTACGTTTCCATTCACACGGTAAGTGTAAATAGTTGTTATTCATATCTTGAAATTCTGTCTTTCAAGTGCTTAAAGTGATCACTATTGTTGTTAAAATATTTTTCTAAATTTTAAATGAAATTTTTGTGTAACCTAGTTCATTTACATTTAGTTTTATGATGAAACACAAGTTTGCCCTCATGTGATGAGCCAGTAGATGGATAGTAGAACAACTTTCTTTTTTTTAAATAATTTTGCCATTCCACCACGATTTAATTAGTTTTAACAATATATTCGTGATCAATATGACACTTATTTTAAAGTAAGATTTTTACAAGGCATTTTTTAGTTTTCAAAGACAATTTTATATATATCAGGGTTAAGGGATAGATGATAAATCCTACTTATGCAGGTTTCGCTTAAAAAAACTGGAGCAAGAGGCTACTTTCTTCCGATACTCATCGGTTGAGAGTACAAGATTTTAGTGGGTAGTTTCTACTTTCACAGTTTAGGGTTTCCTGACCAGGAATGAGACTCTCGGAGCATTGCGTTAGACTATTGGTCTAGAAACACATTACTGCCAGAAACTTTCGTCTAGTAGTAGTCCAAACATCAGAATCATGGTGATTTGTGATCACCAGGCCTAAAATAGATGCTACAGGCAATGCTAAATGTATTTGATCCATTGATTCTCATTTGAAAATAAAATAATTTCAGGACATTTAATATCGAAGAAACATATTCATTTCGACATCGCTTAGCATTGACTAATAACTTCACACAGTTCAAGAATACCATAAATACAACTCCTGTCGGTCAGAATCGGGACAGTCCAGAAGGAGGTCTTGATGCGCTAGCCCAAGTGATGGCGTGCCCAGAAATAATAAAATGGAGAAAAGAGTCAAGGAAGATAATTGTCTTCCTCACAGGTGGCGAATATCACGCTGCATTAGATGGAAAGCAAGCCGGTATATTTCAACCATACGATGGAAATTGCTATCTTGAAAATGGTACTTACACGAAAGAACTAGAAATGGATTACCCATCTGTGGGTATGATAAACAAGCTAGCAATAGAAGGCAACATGATCATTTTCTTTTATGTTCATTACGATGTTGAGGGTATTTACAAAAAACTGAGTAATGTTATAAGTGGTTCCAAAATAGCGACCTTCGTAAAAGATGCAACGCTATCCTCTGATGTTTCCACGTCTGTTTCTACGTCTGATAACTTCGTAGACACTTTAAAAGAAATATACGAAGTAAGTAAACTTTCATTGCGTTTTGGTTTTGGACTTTGTTAAAACTTTGATGAGTAGTCATTCTGTAGTAATTTCATAAAAAACCGGACAACTACAAGTTTGACTTGCACGCCGAGGGTTGTAAACTTGTATGTAGATTGTTACTTCATCATAGAAATCAGTTCTTTACGATTTTTTTACACGTCTTGTCAGCCAAAATTATAAAAGTTTTTAGTAAGTAAACTAAAACACATTTGTTTTTTTCAGAAAATTTCAAATAAAGTTATTTTGAAAAAATATATAAAGACAAAATATCGCAAAAATATAGAAATCAGTTTAACACCGAACTGCGTCTCAGAAGACAGTGATAATGAGTGCGATCTAGAGGTGGGTAAAGAAAAGCAATTCATGGGTACGATAAAGTTATTAAAATATGATGAATATGAAAACATGACTATAGACATAGCGGTTGAAAGCATCGGGGAAAAGCTAACAATAGATATTGATGTAATAAAAGATTGTAATTGCACGAACAGTGGAGTGGCAAACTCGACGTATTGTCATGGAGAGCCGAGAATTTGTGGGGAATGTAGCTGTGGAGACAAAAGGTAATATATATATATATATTATTTTAAATGTACTATTTGTAGACTATGGCTTTGAAAACTTCCTTCCTTCCGAGACAAAAGCGATGCTAGTACAAACCCTTATTGTCCCTATTTTGGATTATGGTGATGTATGCTATTATGACCTGAATGCAGATATTCTCAATAAATATGACCGCCTTCTGAAAAACTGCATTCGATTCGTCTTTAACTTTCGTAAATACGACCATGTTTCCTCAGCTCGATTCGTCAGCGCCGTCAACTGCACGCCCTCACCACCCTCTATACCATACTCAACTCACCTATTTCCCCTTCCTACCTGACATCCTCATTTCAATTTCTATGTTCCAATCACAACAGAACCCTATGTTCCTCAAACAATCCACTACTGTTATGCCCCACTCATACTTCCGCATGTGTCTACTCTTCGTTCCTAATCCAATCAAGGCAGCGCGTTCCAGAGGAGTCCTCCTCGCTCTGCCTTTGGAAATCAAGATAGCACCCAGCCGCCATTCATTTAAGACGAAAGTCCGAATTCTCGACACTCCAGCAGATTCATCACATCCCTAAAGTTTTATATAGTATATTACATGTATATGTATGTATGTAACTCAGCGAGTATATATGTATGTGTATCTCAGTATGTATGTATATTTGTCACACTGGTTCTGTCCATATACTTAATTATTATTATCTCGTTACATATAAAACTTAATTTCTAGTGCACCTACTCAGACATTTCCCACCACCCAAAGGTAGACTGGGAAAAAATGCCTGTGGCATTAAGTCCGCCATTGTACAATGAATTATTGTTTGAGCAAAACAAAAAAAAATACAAAATAAAGCTTAGTACTTAGTACTTTAGTACTCGGAGTAATTAAACTGTTTCAATCCAGTTATACAAACCGTCGAACCGTAGGTTCGATGAAACAATGATGGAACTCAAATCACAATGGCTGGTAAGACTACTATCAGAGTTTATAACTATAAGAAAATAAAAAAAAATACTTATTATTTACCACAAGTATTACCCCCTATAAGTCTTTATACTTACAGTAACTACTGAATGCTTACAGATACGGTGACAGATGTGTTTGTGAAAAAACTGGGGGGATAGTTTTTAATTCTAGCTCATCGTGTATTCAGCAAGGAGATAATGATGTTTGCACCGGTCACGGCAGTTGTGAATGTGGAGCATGTCGATGCAGGCCTGGGTAACAAAATTAAACCTTTTCAATTCTAATGTATAACTACTACATTTTGCTTATGGTATAGAAGGCAAACGAACAAACGGGACCTGTTGGTGAGTGAAAATCGCCGCCTACGGACACCTGTAAATAAGAAAGTCAAAAGTGCGTTGTGCCCTTTGAATCTCCTCGAAGGATTAGGGTTTGGGAGTCTTGTAACCACTGTAAATTCACTCGGTGAAAAGTAACGTAACTAATAGCGTTTTTCTGTGCAGCCGTGGAATTAGCCGGCCTATTTTTGCCGAAGCATAACTCTTTCACATTTAAGCACATCTCTATCATTCAGAATGATACAAATACTATCTGACTTAATGTGGGTGGGTAACTTATGGAATATGTAGATTCATTAAATAAATAAAATTCAATTTCATAATTGTAACTTATCTTTACCAGCTATCTATATATATCTTTAAACGCTAAATGTAAGCATATATATACATATCTATATCTACTTACTCTTAATGTACCTTGTTTTGTAGTTCCTGGTTGGTTGTTTCGTAACGTAAGATAGCAGAAAGAATATTTTCATAATTATCTGATTATCTCTAAACTCCTTTTTAGATATACTGGCAAGTTCTGCCAGTGCAATGACCTTAGCTGTCCTCTCGGTGATGGTAAATTGTGCTCGGGAGAAAAACATGGCAAATGCCAGTGCGGCAAGTGTAAATGCGAACCTGACTGGGGGGGCGACGCCTGTCAGTGTTCCAAACACGACTGTGTAATTGATGGAAAAGTGAGTATAACATGAGTTATTGAGAAAACTGAAAATGACACAAATTCAAGTACAGTGTTTTCCTGAGTTTGATCATATTTCATTAAACTATTGAGTACTTACAATCTTCGTTGAAGCTAAGAAAACAATCTACTTCCACATATATTTTCGACCACATTAAAATTCATTACATCATTACTAAACAAGATTATATATTTAGAAATTTGATAAAAAATAGATAGATACTTTTTATCTAATCTACACCTAAAAAGTATTGTATAAATTAGAAATAATAATAATAATGTAATATAATATATAATATATTTTACTACATTCACACAACGCCATCTAGTCCCAAACTAAGCAGAGCTTGTACTATGGGTACTAGACAACTGATATAAATACATATATACTTTTTTTTTTTGTAAATACATATTACATATTATACAAAGAAACACCCAGACCAAATCAAACATTAAATGTTCATGCACACAATGTTTGACTTGAGCGGGAATCGAACCCGCGACCCTTGGAATAGCAGTCCGTTACACAAACCACTATGCTATATTAAGAAGCAGGACAAAGGTTTCTAATACAATGTGTCTGGGTTCGGACTGTACAAACTTTAGGGGGTGATAGTTTGCTCTATTTTATCACTAAAATCATTCTACAGGTGGGGTCTAAACCCAACGGCCTCTGAATGGCAGCCATTTTTGTATTTTGGTTGACTTTTTCGTAGCGTCCATACTAAAAGTTATGTAACTTTGGAGTTTAATGTCCGATTATCGTAAAACAAAAACTTCCTATAACGGAAAAGTATTAGCAATCAGATAAATAACTCAAATAATTTTAATAATTGCTGCATCATATTAAAATGAATGCTAAAAGATCAACTTTACGTCAAAACCAAATTTGTTTTTTAGTATTTCAAGGCTATTACAAAAAATACCCCTGTGAACTATCTCTTATTATGCACGTATCTCAGAGATGGTAAGCTGACCTAAATAATGATACCAAAAACTCGATTCTATGACAACTGGTGTAAGAGATATTGTTGCTCGAACGCAGCCCTTCCGTGCGTAAGATATGAATGAGCACCGCAATCTACACATGTGGATGGCTGAAAATCCACATGCTGTTAGAACATCAACATTTCAGCCTGAATTTTCTGTTAATGTGTGGGCAGCTATGATCGATGATCAATTGATTGGCCCCATCGTACTCCCAAGAAATTTAAATGGCCCAAGATTTTTAGAGTTTCTGACCAATTAATTTTCTGAAGCGTTATTAGAATTACCATTGTCATATCTATTACATTGAAATACTAAAAAACAATGTTAATTTTGACGTAAAGTTGATCTTTTAGCATTTATTTTAATATGATACAGCAATTATTAAAATTATTTGAGTTATTTATCTGATTGCTAATACTTTTCCGTTATGGGAAGTTTTTGTTTTACGATAATCGGACATTAAACTCCAAAGTTACATAACTTTTAGTATGGACGCTACGAAAAAGTCAACCAAAATACAAAAATGGCTGCCATTCAGAGGCCGTTGGGTTTAGACCCCACCTGTAGAATGATTTTAGTGATAAAATAGAGCAAACTATCACCCCTAAAGTTTGTACAGTCCGAACGAAGACACATTGTATATTTATAGAGAATTTGATTAGGAATAAATGAGACCAGTCTTGTTTCTCTAGAATCACTAGTATACGAGATTTTCAATTTTTCATTAAAAAATAGATGCTTTTCTTAAAACAACTTGCTGTAGTTCATTTTCAAATCAACTTTTTTGTTTCTTTATAAAAAAAAATGTATGCAAATGTTTTTTTTTCTAAATACCTTTATCTAAATCTAAATTACATTACATTATAATGCAATGTCAAAAATTGTGATAATGAATTTGAATAATGACATCGTACATCCATACATTTTTAACCTTTACTCTCGATAGATAAAGAGATTGGATTTGTTTACAGCTAATATTTTCTTATACGTAACATTTTGACGTGTGGCGTCACGAGCTTCGTAAAGTCACACGTCAAAACTTATTATTAACCATTTTATATTACATGGACAGTTTGTCTTTCAAATACATGACATTGGCGAAATTGTGGTTACACTCTACCACAAAGCCATTAACCAAAAGTTGAAGTTAATAATAATAATAATATAATATATTTTCTCCTACTGATTTTATCCTTTTTAGGAATGCAGTGGCTTCGGAACCTGCGTATGTGGAGTTTGCGTGTGCAACCCTATAGCCCAGTGGGATAAACGCAGCGTTAGGGACGAAAGTTGTAAAATAATCGCAGGTTCTGATACTCTAAGTTTGCAGTGCAAAGCTTTGGAAGATTGCGCTAAGTGTCAGCAAAAAGGTAAAAATGATGACTGCGATTCCTGCGATAACGCAATACAAACTAGAGTTGTAAAAGAGCTCACAGAAGAATATTTGAACAGTAGCTTGTGGAATGCTTGTCCTGATATAAAGGTTGCTCTTGGATGTTATTCTAAATTCATCTATCGTTACGATGACATCAAATATTCTCTGGAATTAGTGGTGGAGCAAAAGATGAATTGCGCTGAAACTCATTACCGTAAGTGTAAACAATAATTAATCCATACATTTTTACTTTAACATTATTTAGTTAGGTAATTCTTTACTACGAGGAAGGTGTAAAACAATAGTAAAATAGGCGAAAAGTGCTTACAACAATAGGGTAATAAATAAGTTTTTTTAATAGTTTAACCTACAATTTTTTTTAGATTTCTCATAAGGAATTTGAAGAAACTACCTAATGAACAGCACTGGCGTAATTGAGACTTATCTTTTGGTTTATCCTATTGGCTATTTTTTCCTTAGTTCACCAGTCTCTCACACAGAGCCACCTTCTTCTTACATTAAGATCTTAAGACTTACATTAAGAACACTTACATTAACATCTTGCTCTGTTAATATTTGCTTGTAGAAAATAACATGTTTCTTTTCAGTATTTGGAGGCATTTTCTCTCTTGTCGTCATCATAGTAGGAGTACTGACGTTGGTGGCTTGGAAGCTACTGACGGATGCTCGAGATCGCCGAGAGTATAAGCAGTTCTTGGAAAAATCTGAACATGATGGGAATGTAACTGATAATCCATTGTATACGCCGGCTGTCTCCTCCTTTCAGAATCCTGGTTTCAGAAAGAGGTCTTATAAACAATAATGAATAAGTAAACTATGACGTTTACTTTAAAGAAATAATTTACATATCCATTTGTATATTTAGATCTAAAACGCTTAGTTTTAATGATGTGTGCTTTATGTTATTTCGTTAAAATTATAAAATAATAAAAATAAATTATTTATTTGCTTTTATTCTCAAACTATCGTTTCAATTTCTTTACTCACAGCGATTTAACATATGAAATGAAATTATATTTATTTCTGCAATTAAATCTCTGCCGATATTATACAAGTCGGACTTTACAGCTACGAGGCGCCGGCATTTCCTAAGACTCGCTCTTTGAAGAAACCACAGAGGTGTTTTCTCTTTTTTTTAAACACGTGCAATGTTAAAGAGAACTATGTACGTGCAGTAAAGGGTCTGGACAAGCCTTTTGAAGAAAGGACCATAGTTTTGAGTCAGCCCGTCCATACAGACGGCATACGGGCTATAGCCATCGTGTAGCCTATCCGATATAGTCAGCATCAACAACCCGGAACACGACACTACCGCCAGCAGGACAGTTGAGTGGGCCGTGGAAACACTCAAAACCACCAGAAAGACACTAAAACATGAACTAACCTTACAAGCCTATAATACTCACATTTACATACTTACACAAAAAAAAACTATACAATTCGACGTCCCCCGCGAATAATCCGGTAATGACCGGGGTTTTTCATGTTATGCGTTTTTCGGCATCTAGAAGTTAAAATACACCATGTAATTTTTTTTCAGATTTTTTCTATCTTTATTTACGAAGATATGAAAAACTACGCGTATATTCCATAAAAATTCATTAAAATGTATTTTAAACGAATAATATGGTTTTAGATCTTTACGAAAAAAAATATCAATATGATTTGACAGTAAAATTACTTTACGATATTATTCGGGAAAATAGTTTTCTACCTTATTTATGTAACATTTTATTGTTATGACTATTACTGTTTATTCGAATAGTTTACTTAAGTATTATTTGATGATTATTATAGTATATTTTATGAAATAAAGGACATTCTAGTAAATGAAACAACTTTGGTTAGTTTGACAAAACGCGATAGTTATTATTATCATAAAAAATAGACACTGCACTGAAGACACGACTATTACACATGATTACACAATCATGAAAATTATAATAAGGTCCTCTTACAGTTGAAAATCTTAATCAAAATCCTCATCGTGACCTGATTCAGTATCACAAAAGCTTAAATTCCTATAAAATGGTTGATAATGGTGGGGAATTGCTTGGGAGTTACACAGGCTTATTTTGAATGTACCACAGTCTGAAGTGTCAATTTTCCACTACAAACGTAATAATAATTTTACAGTTTTTGACGCTCTAAACAAACTAGGGTTCTGTTACGTTTGGCAAGCTCAAATTGGAAAAAAAAGGGTGGAAATAGGGAGTTGCTTGTTTCAATTTGTCAAGACCTTACACGAAAAAGGTATACGCAAAATTATATTTTACTAAGATGGTTGTTATGGCCGGAATAAAAACAGATACATTTTTGCGTTGTATCTTTACATTGCAATGACTCTTCAAATTGAAATTATCCATCGGTTTTTTGTTGGCATAGCCAAAATGAAGGCGACTCAATGCACGCATGTATTGAAAGAGCTCTGAAAAACAAAGTTTTGTACACACCGGACTAAGTATATAGTATCATAATGAACGCTAAAGTCTCCGAAGACAAATATATCCTAAAAGAAATGTAACAATCTGAAATCCTGAACATAAAAGAACTTGTTGAACCCAAAAGATGGCTTCAAGATAAAACAGGAGAAAAAGTACGATGGTCCGATGTGATGGAGGTTAGTGTGTCATACAGTAAACCTAACTGTTTTCTTTTCAAATATGATTTTGATCAGGATTATATTGAATTGGATTACGATGCAGGCAGAAGTAGATAGCGTCGGCAGAAACAAGTGTCCAAAACAATTGAAGGTATTGAATTAAAGCCACCATTTGACAAGCCACTCCCTATTCAAAAAGCTTTGTATGATTATCTCCTAAGCCTGTGTAACTCCCAAGCAATTCCCCACCATTATCAACAATTTCATAGGAATTTAAGCTTTTGTGATACTGAATCAGGTCACGATGAGGATTCTAATTAAGATTTTCAACTGTAATAGGACCTAATTATAATTGTTTTATATGATTGTGTAATCATGTGTAATAGTCGTGTCTTCAGTGCAGTGTCTATTTTTTATGATAATAATAACTATCGTGTTTTGTCAAACTAACCAAAGTTGTTTCATTTACTAGAATGTCCTTTATTTCATAAAATATACTATAATAATCATCAAATAATACTTAAGTAAACTATTCGAATAAACAGTAATAGTCAAAACAATAAAATGTACGTTACTGTTAAACAATCGAATAACCTAATAATTACTTTTTACAAATGTTCAGTATACAAAACAAATTACACGAATAATAGCGCAACACGATATTACCGTTGCCGTCGAAAATATAAATTTACACGAATAATATCGCAACAAGATTTTACTCTTGCCATCGAAAATATAAATTTACACGAACAATATCGTAAGTGACATTACTGACCAGAGCTTGACCTACACTAATATAGTAAAATGCATCCAGCTAAATTATAACGAAGCCCTTGGGACTACTTTAGTTTTGTTGAAATAACCAGATAGCTGAAAAAATTAGCTTCCATATGCGATATAAAAAGTCTCTGATTCTTGTTGTTTAATAGAGTTATTAAGGAAAAATGGTTTTTGATTTTTCCTGAACATTTACACTTTTACGCTTACCGGATTATTCGCGGGGGGCGTCGAATTCAATTTCAGTTTTTGTAGTCTAGTCTTTGGCAACACGAGTTATTCTTTATTTCTAGTGTTTATATTATGAATGTCGCTAAACTTTGTGAATAAATGAATATTTTTTTAACATATTTATACTAAATTTTCGTATGTATATTGAGATGCGACTGTCATAATACCAATTTCTTTAAACATATCCCTCAGTGACTGCCTAAAAATGAGATTATGAATTGCGCGAATAGCTCTCTTTTGCAACACAAAGATACTTTGAATGTCAGCAGCGTTTCCCTACAACAAAATACCGCATATCACTACCGTATTACACTATGAAAATAGCTAAAATAGCTAGCTGTGTCTACATCAGTTAATTGACGAATTTTATAAACCGCGTATGCTGCAGAGCTGAGTCAATTCGACAATCCATCAACGTGTGGGCGCCACTGGGATTTAGAGTCTAGAGGTATACCCAAAAACTTATAGGTGTCCACAAGATCCAACTCCTTTCCATTTATCAGAACACTTGTTTTTACCTGCTTAACATTAGGTGTAAAAAATCTAATACATTTAGTTTTTTCTGGTTTAAAAGTAAGTTATTAACGTTGAACCAGTTCACGACCTTGGAGAGAGTGTTATTCATATCGTCAGTAACTAATCAGTTACTGACGATATGAATAACACTTTCGTTTTAGTTTAACTGAAAGTGAAGTGTCATCCGCAAATAGCACTATCGCCTGATTATCTTTTATCAGATTAGGTAAGTCATTTATATAAACGAGAAATAAAAATGGGCCGAGAATTGAGCTCTGCGGAACCCCCACAATGACCAGAGACCCGAGAGACCTCTGTCCATTACCTTCCACTCTTTGGATTCTATTACCCAAATAGGAAACAAGAGCATCCAAAGCAGTATTCCTTATTCCATAGTGATGCAATTTCCTGATCAATGTTTCATGAAAAACGCAATCGAATGCCTTAGATAAATCACAAAACACACCCAACGCATCCCGTTTATCCTCCCAGGCACCAAATATACTTTCCAGAAGTTTAACACCAGCATCACTTGTCGAGCGACCTCTTCTGAAGCCAAATTGTTTCCTGTGTAGAATATTGCTTCCACTAAAATGAGTCTGCAGCTGATCTAGAATAATAAAAAAAAAATACTTTAAGGAGGTAACACTGAAATAGGCCTATAATTAGTAGGATCAGACGTGCTACCCGCCTTAAATGAAGGAATGATTCTACTATGCTTCATTAGGTCAGGAAATACACCACATTTAATGCAATTATTAAAAGTTAAGGCCAACTCTGATGCAACTACGCTAATAATTGACTTTGTTATTTGTACAGAATTACCCCAAAGGTCGGCGGTTTTCTTAACACTAAGAGCATAGTTTGATGGATCATGTTCAACTATGCTATATTATTTTACATCTAATTTCCTCCTGCCTAACAGTTTGATCTACAACATCTCAATTGTGAAGTCATCAGGCATTTGCATTTTTTAACTACAACGCTCAAATTTTATACCAAATGAAAATTATAAGTTTAACAAATGACAGCTTATTTTACCTTATTTGAGCCATCGGCTCAAATGTAAAAAATACGTAATGGAACAAAATTCTTGACTTATTTCCTAGCAGGGCAGTATGTAGGGTTCGTAACCCCGTAGTAATTTTTCACCTGGAAATTCGTGGTTAATAAAATTTGTGGTCCAATAAGCTCACGTTATTTGCATTCCTAATTTAAAAATATGGAACTTCTTCAGAATCTAAGTAACATTTTAATGTAAGTAACTTTTTTCAATGCTTCATTTAGAGAGTCAAAGCTCAAATGTTTTATATAAATTTAAAAAAAACTGTGACGAGAAATAAATTTTGATTTATGCTTTAGTCTAATTAACAAAGTTAGAAATCAAATTAAAAACTTGGGCAGACGTGAGTTTCCGAATTTATCAGTATCCTGCAGAAACGACGACTTGTTTGCTTACTGCCAATATTTGGAAAACCTCCACATTGACTTCACCGAACGATACCAGGATATTTGGATCTTGGAAATACCAGACTGGGTGTTGGATCTGTTTTCAAATGTCAACACATCAATGTCACCTCAGCTGAAAGAAGAACTTATAGAATTGACAACAAACGAGGAAATAAAAATCAAGTTCAAAAATGGCTACCAAGAATTTTGGCTACAAAAACCGATCC